ATCCATCTGATTCAAGATCATTTCATAATCTCCTCAAAAAACATGTAAAAGACTTCATCTGTTGAAAGTATTGATAAAATGGAATTCTCAATCCTAAAACACTCCTTCATGCAAACAGTTTCAACAATACAGCATTTTGTTATTTTCAGCATGAATTCAAAACTTATCTGAGAATAAAAATGAAAAAGTGGTCATGTTGAAATAATTTTGTCATTGGCTTCTATAGGGTGAATTATGGACAGGATGATTTTACATTATACTCAAAGTCACATTAGGACTTAAACAATCACTAAATATTTCTAGTATTGTTAAATCAATCAGTGCTTAATCTATGATTAAAATAGATACATTGTACTTGTATCATAAAAAGAGCAATGTAATTTATATCTGAACAATAGATAATATTCACAGATCTATTTCCAAAGTCTAAATAAAAAAGAGAGATTTATAATGAATTAAACTTGTTAAATGTTAAAAATGTTAAAAGTTAAAAATATTCCATAATAAGGAATGTTTTAATGAATTTGATAATTCACAATGAATATGGTGTGCAACTCACTGGATTATCAGGTCACATACGATAGAAATTAAAAATCAATAACATCTAAACTGCCATTATTTTATCATACACAATTGGACATGTTGATTGCATCAAATCCCCTGAAATAAACATATGGACAAGTCAATGACGACACACAAGCACTCCACACTCAATGTATATAGTAAAATGTATACAGATTCTAACTCGACATAATGTGATATGGACAAGTCAAAGACACACAACCCACACTGATCTGTATAGCAAAGCCAAATGTACAATCTAGCTAGATAAGGACATACAGGTGATATGGACAAGTCAATGACAACACCCCCCACACGGCTGTATACTGAAGCCATATATACAAGCCATACAAGTATGTTACAAATCACTGGGTGATAAACACAAAGATCCATTCCAAACAATGCGACAAATTGCACATTTCAACAGACATACCCCTTGAAGTTACAGATTCATGAACATAAAACTGGAGTGAGTGAGTGATTTGGGTTTAACACCGCTTTTAACACTATTCCAGTTATATCGCGGCGTGTCAGCTAAATGTGGAAGAAAAAGCCCGAAGAGATGCAGGTCTCAGACGTTTACCACTTCGGTGAAACCCACGAGCACGGGTATGATGCTGACAAATCTAAAACATAACCGGGACGTTCTGGGATTCGAACCCACAATCATAGGTTTCTGGCGTGCCCAAGGGACGCAACTCTGCACAGCGAATCACGGCGCCTTAGACGACGGGGCCATCCGTGCCCCATAATCCAAATGAGGGGACCTATTTTTTAATTTGAGGCATGTCCGGGTAACTTTCTCAATGAAATGGACTGCAGCTTTGACACATAAAGAATTACCCTTCTAATCATTGTGAATTTAACACAGCTGACATCATGATTCAAACTTAGTCACAGACCGAGTTTCCATGACAACTGAAGAAAACAAAGCAGGAACACAATGACACAGACACTATGTATAGACAAACTATGAATGTTAAATAGGTGATCATGGAATATATACATAGGTGTTAATATCAATCAGTGTCATCTATGTAACAGATGAATCATAATATCAGTTATTGAGGTTTGTCAGTTTCATTACATAATCAATGTCATTGGTCATATGCACAGTATTATATTCAACACAAGAGATATTTGTCAAACAGATGTTTCCAATCTCTACATGCTCTAGATTCTATGACACTTTTTTATGGATAACAACTTCTTCTATTCTTTGTCACGATGTTTCAGATCTAATGCTTGACCCTTCATCAGGTGAATACTAAATAAGTGAATGAAGTTTATTTAGAAATAAATGACGAGCGGGAGTTGTTTATTGTACAATTAAACACTGTAGAGAGAATAAACAGTGTTTAATTGTACGATAAACAATGACCACGAGTCATATATTTCTTGAGATATCAACATAATGTACAGCCTCTTTAAGGATGATGATAAAACATACCAGCTTTAAAAATATCTACCCGTGTTTTAATAATGATGATTCCCTGAATAGAATCCGACCTTGGTAGCGTCGGACAAGTCCATTTCATGAACAGGTGGGTCAAGTTTGGCATTTCCCGCATATTCTCACATCAATTATCTGTACTTTGCTCCAGATGGCTATTGTCAGATCTCTCCCACTTTTGGATGCGATCGTTCGGTCACTGCGTTTATCTGCATTGCCCAGCTAAATCTATGGGGAGCAACTCACCAGAAACATCCCTCTAAAACATAACGTCATCCAATAAAGGATGTCATTAAGATGCGAGCGCATGTTCTAATCTTCAGAATGTACAATTGGCGTGGTCAGTATATTGTTATCTTTGAACATTAATCCTACCTTTTGTAAACATCATGTATATATATGCAGTCGATCCTCGTTTTGAACTCGTAGGGACCAAGACAAATTCAAGTTATCAGGGCTTCGAGACATCAGGGGAATTTTATGCTTAATTTGGACACTTGGGTCTCTCAAATGAGTTCAAGATAACTGGGAATTCGACACGTCGAAGCTCGACGTGGTGTATGACTGTATATATATTTACTTAATGAGCTGATGCAATATTTACCTGAAGGGGCAAGAAGTAGGTCATAAACATCATGACAAAGAATAAAGAAGTTGTTATCCATGAAAAGTGTCTTGTATTCATGTCCTGCCAACTAAATGCCTATGAAAGACTTCTCTACATTCTACTTGCTACAGATTACACGCTGCATCTACACACTTCACACATTCTATTGCTATCAGAAACAGCGGTCACATCATGGCTGAGCACCCAATACAGGAAACTGACTTCAACGATTTGACCATAAAAGTAGTTGAATCAACTGATCGGTTGTTTAATCTGACAAAATCTGTGACCCTGATAATTGTTCTTACTAAATTGTTGGTTGCACTGCTTATAAGGCCTCATATTTTTAAAGTTGGTTTACAAGATCCACCAACCAAAGAAACCTGAAATTAGAAGAAAAATTACTTTTGACAATTTTGTTTTTGTCAGACTGTTGTAGTTAGGTGAAATGAAAAGAAACCCATGAGATTTTATCACCGCTGTTCATGGAAATGGTAAATAATATTATAAAAATCATCATTCTGAACCCCCCCCCCCCAAAAAAAACTATAATAATTTTTCTGTATCATTTCACAATCACATTTCCATAATGGTGTGACCCATTAGTAGCAGTACTAATCTGGAATTTGAAAAATTATTAACAATTCTTTTGCCAACCACCTACATTGAATTTTGGGTCAACTTAAAACAAACTAATAAAAAATAAAAGTCCTAATGTGTGTTAACTGTCTATTAGGGCTGGGACGGGTAACTCGGGTACTCGGATAGGTACTGAGTAGGATCCAAGGGCCCACAGGACTACCCGGACCCGTGGTTAGTCACATGATATATTGATAAACTCTATGGTTACACAACAAGTCATGGTTACACTGCACCCATTCCTTCTGACTTTGAAATATTTGAATAAAGATAAAACTTCATGAGGTAAACTTCTTTGTGTGCATGACCAGATTGTTTTACACGTGTATCTAAATACATTTTGCCAGGGCTACGATCAAACTTTTCCCAATCGGACAGTTTGTACCTATCTCTTAATTTCTACAGGGGGTAGGGTCAGGTAATAGTGAGTGAGTGAGTATGGTTTTACGCCGCTTTTAGCAATATTCCAGCAATATCATGGCAGGGGACAACAGAAATGCGCTTCACACATTGTACCCATGTCGGGAATCGAACCCAGGTCTTCTGCGGGACGAGCGAAAGCTTTAACCACTAGGCTACCCGACCCAGCCCTACTGTCTATGTCACAAACTTTGATTGATTTTCGACCAATGCTGCATAGAACAGCAGTTTCGTTGGATCATGGTGTATCAGCTTTATGTGGGAGAAAAGACCGAAGTGATGCAGGTGGTAGATGTTCACCACTTTGGTGAAACCCACAAGCATGGGTATGGTGTTGACAAACCTGGAAACATTATCATGGAGAACGGTGATTTGAAAATAACTCTGTGAGATTCCCACTGAAGAAGCCTAGGTCAGATCAACCAGCCGTCAGGAATGTGAGCAATAATCCAAACTTGTTACATGATCTGTCATTATCAACTGTGAACATTATGAGCATAAATCTGGCATTATAGGTTTTTGTGGGATTTAAGCCAATGATAACAGGTTTAAAGTGATGTAACTCCGCTAAGCAAATTGTGGCAGCTGAGACAACTTGTGTCCCTGAGAGGAAAGACACGTTTGTAATAGACTATGAAAAAATAATTCTGAAAAAATCAACTCGTGGGAAATATGTGGTTCGGAACAATTGCCATAATAAGACTGGAGATTATATCTGGATACAGGTAAGATGATTTACTTTCAATTAGCAAAACCTTTTAAGCTATCAACAAAGCATTGTAAGAGATGTCTTTTGACATTTTTCTTCAAAATATAACTTCTGGCTTGAATATAACAGCATTAACCAGTTTGAAAAATAACTGTATGAGACAGGTGAAGAAATTCATCATGTGATTGTATTGTCTGTGTAACTGAGGACTAACTGTTGTCTGTGAGATCAGAAGTAAACAAGGACGCAATCTCATTAAAATCAGACCTCAGTTCTCTCTACCACTAAACAAAGATCTGAGGACATCCCATTATGGGTCACGTCAGACCGACCTTGCGCGAACTTTGACCGACCAATGGAATAACCAATCAGAAGGCAGCTTTCTCGTGCTTTACGGCACTAATTTCAAATTGGCGACTACGCTTAGAAACATATTTTGACAAATTCTCGATTACAAATTTGAAACCTGAACAAAAGAACATTCTGGAATGGCTAATAGATGGTCTAGATTGTATGGATTCAGTCGTTAAACCCGTAACTATCGTTCTGAGTTAAAGTTTTCGAGGTTGCATCACATTCCGACTGTCACTTTCATAATCTGGTAAGCGATGCTCTGATTGGTCGGATGAAAGGTCATTCTGACGTGACCCCTCATGGGATGTCCTCAGATCTTTGTTTAGCGGTAGCGAGAACTAAGATCTGATTTTAATGAGATTGACAAGGACGTCACAAACGAAGGTCAGAATGGAACTCAGATCGCATCCATGGCAAGCCACCACACTATCCCCTGCCCTACTGAACCCACACATGATATACTGGTTATTACCCTTGTAATGTACCAATTTAACCACGTAATTAAATAACTCCATAATTAATATCGTGTTGATTTCTAATCTTCTTGTCTGAAGATTTTCAAAGTCATTCACAAATGTCAACTAATCATCTTGCGGCTGTTCATTTTCTTCGAAAAGCTTAAAAACAAAAACTTGTACTCGTCACATTCAGAGACTAGGAACTGACTAAACATAATTATTTTACATGTGAATGAGTGAGTGAGTGTGTATGGTTTTACGCCGCTTTTAGCAGTATTCCAGCAATATCATGGCGGGGACACCAGAAATGAGCTTCACACATTGCACCCTTTAGGGGAATCGAACCCAGGTCTTTGGCATGATGAGCGAACGCTTTAACCACTAGGCTACCCGACTGCCCCACATGTGAATGATGAATCAACTGACAACACAATGCCCCATGTTTCAATCCGAGCAGGATATGTATAATGCTGCCTAGGTATTTCAATTATCCCTGGGTATTTTACCTCCATGAACAAACAAACTACACATGCCTGAGCTCATCCAATGAAGAATCAACAAAACATAACACCTGACATCCCACCATTACAAACAACGCTCCATTCTGACAAAAAGGATGTTGAACTGTGCCATTCAATGCAGTTGGTTACATCACGGAGCCAAGTATTGACTTACTGGTCTGACCATTCCAAGAATATAATTTGGGCAAGTCTGGAATTCAAACACATTAGGATCCTTGCAAATCTAAGGGAGGCAACTCTGCACAGCAAATTGTGTCCCCATTGCCATAGATGACCGAGGTACCCATGCCCCCAAACATATCAGAAGACAGGTAGGTACCTAATATCTCTGCCTGCAATGTACTTTTTGGTACCAAGGATGAAGAGGTGTAAAATAATCTACAGGGGGGTCGCACTAGGCTGAAAAAAATAATAGTCTTGGTTCTCAGGCACCGCCTGCATCATCATGAAGTCTGGTGCGCGTTTTGTTTTATTTCAATTTTAAAAAATAAATCAAATTTCTAATTCTCAAAAACAAGGTGATCCAATGGGGCATGCAGTTACTTCCCTTCACATGCGCACTGCTTTACTGCACATCTTGTGTGAGGGTCATGGCAGCAATAGGAGTTTGCATGCTTGTTTATGTAGAGAGGCCCTTTCCCAGGTTGATGGTACACAACTGTTTATTTGGTTACATACTAGTTTGAACAAGCAAAAAAACACTGCCCACCCGCACTATATTTTCAAAAGTCATAGCCTGTGAACCAATTCTTTTATTTTCTTAAGCCTTGTAGGCAGGGGTCGTATTACCATTGATGCTATACGGTATCCAAGATTTCTCCTCGTAACAAGACACTCAAGCTGTGTCAGTTCAAATGTGTTCCTTCTTTTATACAATGACATAACATCCAAGCTTGATATATTTGAGGTAAAAAACGTTACAATTACGGACAATACGAGGAATAAATGAAACATTATCATTAGTCATTAATTGAAATTAAACTGAAGGAAAGAAATAAAGTTACATATATAATTTTGGCAGAGTTTACTGTTGTGAATAAACACAGCACAATATCAACATGACACACAATGGAATGTGTGTATCAGGGCCCACTTGCACAAAGCGATCTTAGTGCTAAGATGATTGTAACTCCCATACTTTAACATAGGCTTACGCTAGTCTTAGCGCTAAGATCGCTTTGTGCAAGTGGGCCCTGGTGTGTCACAGAGCTGTCAAAAATTCTTTGGTCATCTTTGGTCTAACACAGAAATCATGTCCAACAAATGGGTCCCTTTCTTGTTTCCATCAGTATATATAATTGTTAAACGTGTCAGGGCTCTTACATTATGATACCTGTCTGCAGCAAGATCTGTTTACACCAAGCATCAGATCAACCCTTAACTTTGACCGTCCAACCAAATGAAGGATGTGTGGGTTCTTGAGTCAGTCAGATGTCAGCTTTTCAAAACAATTTGTCTTCAATTCTCTACCACCTCAATTTGGAAATGTCAGCTGTTACAAATGAAAAGAGACTACATATATTCCTTTGTTCGCTCTGCCTTTAGGATGTGGATGCCCTGGTGCCAGTGTATAACATTTGTTTGTTTCTTGGCAATCGGAAGTCCCTTGATATGTGAGTGAGAGAGTGAGTATGATTTTATGCCGCATTTAGCAATATTCCGCCAATATCATGGTGGGTGACACCCAAAATGGGCTTCACACACTGTACCCATGTAGAGAATCGAACCTGGGAGTTCGGGTGATGAGGGAACCCTTTAATTACTAGGCGACCCAAGAATATGTGTAAGTTTTAGATACCGGTACTGAAAATTGATACGCTTGTCTAAATGCTTTACACATTTGTAACCAAGAATTTATAAGCCTTGATGCTGATGGGTTGATAAGAAAGTTCACCTTCAATGGAGGCGTCTTCAGATCTTCATGCAGAGAGGTATCATATTAGAATAAAGGATCTCAATTTTATGCGATTATTTACGATAGTCATTAACAAGCCTTTTACACCAATCAGCTGCAACCATTATACATGTCATGAACACACTAACTAACCAAGAAGCAGATAATGCCAGGTGCTGTAGATAACAACCGTAACAGTAAGTCATTGAGGCAGATTAATCTGGTGATACAAGGTCAACTTTATATACATTTTGGTTGAATGGTAATGCCAGGTGACTCTGGAAGAGGATAAAAATATACATGTAGATTTGTATTTGAATGACAATGGAATCATAATTCCCTCAACATGCACGAGTTGGTATGACTCCGACTCTGACCCATGTGGGCTCCCTGTTGAAGTCACCATCTTACTCTACATATAGGGGATTGATGAAGATTACGGATGAGATTTATCGATCAGTGTTAAAGCTTCCTTGTCAGACTGAGTGTCCTCTGCAGTGTTTTGTAGTTGGTCGGGTTCACTGTTGTCTGTCCTCCCAGAAATCACATCCAGATCACATATTAGCAGTACACAGAGGCACCTTGTGCCAGGCAAAGTTCAGACTGTCTGTGACCACCTTGACCATGGATCTACAGCAAGGTCAGTTTCTCTTGGTGTTTCGTCCACGCTGCCCCAAGATCACATCCAGGTCAGAGAAGTCACAAATGAGCAGTACACAGAGGCACCATGTGCCAGGTGAAGTTCAGAATGTCGGTGACCACCTTGACCATGGATCTACAGTATGGTCAGTTTCTCTGGGTGTCCAGGCAGAAATAGAAGTGCTGACATACACATGATGAGTCGCCATCCTTACCATGGAATCTCCAGCAGAAATGAAACAACTGCATTCCCATGAAAACTGTAACATGCAGCACACAATATGACTTGACAATGCTGTCTTTCTGTAAATACACTTATTTACATCTGTGTGCTTCCTTCCCAGTTGAATTGTTTCGCACACAGGTAACAGATGAATAATACTTAGAAGTCCCGGGTTGAATTAAACACAGCCACACACTCACTCACTCACACACATCTGGACTAAACTGACTGTCTCATACAAACACTGGCGTCGCTCCTTCTGGGAGATTCCATTGGACATTCTGGCCATCAAACTGGAAGAGAAAATTATTTCAACATGGTTGACATGACAGTCAAGCTGTTCAGACACTCCACATATACTAGGTAACTCCACCCAAATACACAACCCACTCCACCCACATATACTAGCTAGCCCCTTCCACATATCTATCCCACTCCTCCAACATATCCTAGCTAACTCCTCTCACAAACCCAACAAACTCCTCCCACATATCCCAGCTAACTCCACCCACATATCCCAGCTAACTCCTCTCACATACCCAACAAACTCCTCCCACATATCCCAGCTAACTCCACCCACATATCCCAGCTAACTCTTCCCACATATCCCAGCTAACTCCACCCACATATCCCAGCTAATTCCACTCACATATCCCAGCTAACTCACCCACATATCCCAGCTAACTCCACCCACATATCCCAGCTAACTCCACCCACATATCCAAGCTAATTCCACCCACATATACTAGCTAGCTCCTTCCACATACCCAAACCCACTCCTCCCAGCTAACTCCACCCACATATACTAGCTAGCTCCTTCCACATGCCCAACCCACTCCTCCCACATATCCATACTAACTCCTCCCACATATCCAAGCTAACTCCTCTAACTACCTCTAAGGTAGCTCCTCCTACATATCCTCAGATACTTCATCCAACATGTCCCAGAAAGCTACTCCCACATATTCTAACCAGCTCCCACACATCTAAGGTACCTCCTCCTACATATCCAAGCCCACACCACCCACATATTTCATCCTGCTTAACCTGCATATACCAGCTAGCTCCTCCCACATATCCAAGCTCGCTCCTCCCACATATCCTAAGCCACTTTGCCCACCTTGATCCTCCCAAAAACCCATTCCACCCACATATCCCAGCTAACTTTCAGAATATCCAAGACAGCTCACCCCACACAGCCCTGCTAACTCCTCCCACATACCCAACTAACTCCTCCCACATACCTTACCAACTCCTCCCACATATCCCAGCTTGCTCAACCCACATGCCCAACCAACTCCTCCCACATACCCAAGCTTGCTCCACCCAACTCCTCCCACATACACAACCAACTCCTCCCACATATCCCAGCTTGCTCCGTCTAACTCCTCCCACATACACAGCCAACTCCTCCCACATATCCCAGCTTGCACCACCCAACTCCTCCCACATACACATCCAACTCCTCCCACATATCCCAGCTTGCTCCACCCAACTCCTCCCACATACACAACCAACTCCTCCCACATATCCAAGCTTGCTCCACCCAACTCCTCCCACATACCCCAGCTTGCTCCACCCAACTCCTCCCACATACACAGCAAACTCCTCCCACATATCCCAGCTTGCTCCACCCAACTCCTCCCACATACACAGCCAACTCCTCCCACATATCCCAGCTTGTTTCTCCCACATATCCCAGCTAACTCTTTCAACATATCCAACAAACTCCTCCCAAACTTACCCCTGTAAATTCCTCCTCCATCTCCTTCTCAGCTAAGTGGGGTGCCCAGCTCATCCCTGTCATAGGGAAAAACTCCGGCGGGACTACATCCATAGGGGAGAGCTGCAACAGGCAATGCTTGTACCAAACCAATGTAACATAGAAAAACACACATTGTACTAAGTGCCCTACTCCAATAAGCGCCTCCTGACCAACGTCTAGACTATTCTGTAACAGCGCCAAATATAGAACCGAAAATTGATGTTACAGTCAATATATTGCAGATTATCTTTTACAGAAGGAGTATATAATTGCCATTATACCATAGTTCGATCTCTTAAAACAGATTTAACTCATGGTGGGCCCCCGTTTGTCAATTTTTTATCATACCATTTGCATACAGGGCACTTATCATGGCAAATACGGTATCCTATTTCTGTTAAGGGAGGTAGTCTGTAATGTTTCAGAATGAAAACTTTAATACCATAAAACAATACGAAAGACTTGCGACATATATGAAATCATAGATTTGGTTGTGGCGTGGAGATATTTCCCTCTTTCTTAGACTACTGATGCATATCATAACACATGGCCAACATTACAAAGCCAGCAGATTTATCCACCACTTGGACAGAGTGGTTTGGGAAAGTTTCTTGCAGATGTGTGACATGGAATGCGACTAAATGTACTGTCAAACGCAATAGGGTTGGTGTGCCAAAACAAATAGTCACAAAGATCAATCGTTTGTGGGTAGACCCCTGCAGATCATTATTCCAGTCACATTGGGCCATCTTCCTGAGGCAAGGGAGTTAACTGACTGTAAAAGTCCAGTTTCCACCCTTGCCAAACTAGGCTGGAATTTCGTGGCTCATTCGTAGCACCACCAGTGGTTATTACAAGTTATGTCCATATTGTGTTCCTTCTATGTTTCTCCTATTGACCAATCAGATTCCACCTCTTCTAACACTTGCATTTGTTTCAAACAAAATGGCAGCACCCAGTCAAGACAATCTCATCGATAATCAAGGTTTTTTTGTAATAAAATCTGGTCTTACCTCGCGAAGGACATCAAATCAATTGAGCATGTATTAAAAACATGAAAATATTTGGAAAACATCTGTTTACGCCCAGTTAAAGGAACACATGCTCTGCAAATCTTGCAATCGACCGAAATTTTCATAAATGTACCGAATGTCGATTTCGTTACAACATTTTCGTTAGTCCAGCCAAAATATAACTCCATATTTCCAGCCAGGTTCAGCAAGGGTGGAAACTGGACTTTTACAGTTAACTCCCTTGCCTCGGGAAGATGCATTGTGGCTGGGTAGACCCAAAATAGGCTTGACACATTGCATCCAGGAATTGAACCTAGGTCTTTGACATGACAAGCAAACACTTTAACCACAAGGCTACCCCTCCCCGTTGTGCCATGTCAACCTTCAACTAATTAACTTAGTGTTAATCAATAAACCACGCCTACTTCTGAAACCCATGAAAAAACATTTCCATCACAAGCACTGTCACAATCCAACACATTCACTTACTTTCTTCTCAATAAGATCAGTAAAGTTGATATTTTTAAAGAAGTCCATCTCCTGTAAAGTTGACAGAGCTACTATTCTCCGCTGCGGTGCCTTTGTCAACAGCTGCAACAATCACCATTATTATATCATGCAAAGATTTCTACCATGTCCATTGGCCGACAAGCGGTCACATGTCATTCGACAGAAACCAATATTGACTCAGGTCTGATAAGTTACAGTATTGACTTGAGTTACTAAAAATAGAATGGGAAAACCCGGAATTGGTTCATCCAAACCTAATCAGATGTCTCCTTTTGTTGGATGGTTGGTTGGTTGGTTGTTGTTTAACGCCGCACTCAGCAATATTCCAGCTATATGACGGCGGTCTGTAAAATAATCGAGTCTGGACCAGACAATCCAGTGATTAATATCATGGGCATCGATCCACGTAATTGAGATCGATGACATGCATCAACCTCCCAACATTATTGTAGCTAACATAGTTTGACATGTTCAATTTGCCTTGTGTCTATATTATTACATAAAACCATTATAGATTATGATGTCAACACCTGTTTTAATGGATCAGAGCCACATATTCCACAATGACCCCTTGAAACCAACAACACACCAGGGTATGGGTACCAAACCAAGAAACAATGAACCGGGATTCAAACCCAAGATCATTGGTTACTGGCATGCCTAAGGGCGCAACTCTGCACAGCAAATTACGGAGCCTAAGAAGACTGGGCCATCTGCATCCCTGCTACAAAGTAAACCTACTCTATGTACGATGTCCTGAGCATCATTCCCGATACTCTCCGGCATGAGGAAGTCACACTCGTAGACCTTCTCCGCCATCCTCCTGTGGTCCCTGGCCGCCTCCACTGGATACTGGCAAAAGTGCAGTCATTCATGTAGATGGACAACAATGGTGAGGCTAGGTTGTTTGTTTTGTTTATTTGTTGTTTAACGCCACACTCAGCAATATTCCAGCTATATGATGGCAAACTGTAAAAAAGCGAATCTGGACCAGATAATCCAGTGATTGACATCATGAGCATCGGTCCACGCAATTGGGATACGATGACATGCATCAACCAAGTCAGCGAGTCTGACCTCCCAATCCCGTTAGTTGCCTTTTACGGCAAGGATGGGTAGCTGAAGACCTGTTCTACCCCAGATCATCACAGGTTGGTGAGGTTAGGTGAAATGGGGTTTAAGTCAAGATGATTGCACTTATATTGCGACGTGCATGCACGTGTGCATATGTCTGCTTGTATAGGACTTATGTAGGCTTTATAGTGCTAGCCCAGTGAGATACTAGCTACAGTTGTACATGGATACCCCACTCAGATCCATTACATTGCTGTTGACCAGACCTTGTTTTAGCCCCTTAATGCCGAATTCCAGTAACAACAAGTACCTTCTATGGGTCTTTTGGTATGACGAGGTCAGGGGATAGAACCACTTACCTAAACAACAGGATATCCATCATGTCAGTGTGAAAAGTGAACACTGGTGTGAATCTGCCCAAGCCATCACCAGCTACTTTTGTGTTTCACTCTAAATATCTACATCCAATGAGAGAGTCAAGAGCTACAGAGTTACCTACCTTGCCTGTCATCATGACACACATGAGGATCCCCAGGCAACCTTCTAGCCGAGAAACCTCTCATAAAATAACAATGGACTCCATGTCATCCAATGTGTTGTTGGGCAAGTAGCATCGAGTCAAGAGCTATAGAGTTACCTACCTTGCCTGTCATCATGACACACATGAGAATCCCCAGGCAACCTTCTAGGTAAGATACCTTTCATAAAATAACAATGGACTCCATGTCATCCAAGTTGTTGTTGGGAAAGTAGCATCGAGTCAACAGCTACAGAGTTACCTACCTTGCCTGTCATCATGACGCACATGAGGATCCCCAGGCAACCTTCTAGCTGAGAAACCTCTCATAAAATAACAATGGACTCCATTTCATCCAATGTGCTGTTGGGCAAGTAGCATCGAGTCAAGAGCTAAAGAGTTACCTACCTTGCCTGTCATCATGACACACATGAGAATCCCCAGGCAACCTTCTAGCTAAGATACCTTTCATAAAATAACAATGGACTCCATGTCATCCAAGTTGTTGTTGGGAAAGTAGCATCAAGTCAACAGCTACAGAGTTACCTACCTTGCCTGTCATCATGACGCACATGAGGATCCCCAGGCAACCTTCTAGCCGAGAAACCTCTCATAAAATAACAATGGACTCCATTTCATCCAATGTGTTGTTGGGCAAGTAGCATCGAGTCAAGAGCTAAAGAGTTACCTACCTTGCCTGTCATCATGACGCACATGAGGATCCCCAGGCAACCTTCTAGCTGAGAAACCTCTCATAAAATAACAACCATGTCATCCAATGTGTTGTTGGGCAAGTAGCATCGAGTCAGGAGCTACAGAGTTACCTACCTTGCCTGTCATCATGACACACATGAGGATCCCCAGGCAACCTTCTAGCTAAGATACCTTTCATAAAATAACAATGGACTCCATGTCATCCAATGTGTTGATGGGCAAGTAGCATCGACTCAAGAGCTAAAGAGTTACCTACCTTGCCTGTCATCATGACGCACATGAGGATCCCCAGGCAACCTTCTAGCCGAGAAACCTCTCATAAAATAACAATGGACTCCATTTCATCCAAGTTGTTGTTGGGAAAGTAGCATCGAGTCAACAGCTACAGAGTTACCTACCTTGCCTGTCATCATGACGCACATGAGGATCCCCAGGCAACCTTCTAGCCGAGAAACCTCTCATAAAATAACAATGGACTCTATTTCATCCAATGTGTTGTTGGGCAAGTAGCATCGAGTCAGGAGCTACAGAGTTACCTACCTTGCCTGTCATCATGACACACATGAGGATCCCCAGGCAACCTTCTAGCTAAGATACCTTTCATAAAATAACAATGGACTCCATGTCATCCAATGTGTTGTTGGGCAAGTAGCATCGAGTCAAGAGAAACAGAGTTACCTACCTTGCCTGTCATCATGACGTACATGAGGATCCCCATAGACCACCAGTCAGCCTGGTGCCCGTATGGGTAGGCACTCAACACTTCAGGTGCTGGGGAAACAATAAGAACAGAAAGTCAGTATGTATCTTATACACTGTATTTAAATTATTAATGTTTTCCATAGTGTCATGATACTTCAACACTGGACACTGTAAACCAGCATTAAAAATTGGCACTAGTCCTATAGTCCTTGCCAAACCCCAATAGTTACGGTACCATAAGGACTAGTAGAAGTCTGCCATTTTTAAGGGTTTTGCTATATGTTATCATTACAAGGGCTTAAACTGTTTCTATAGCTGTAAACATGTTAAGTGTCATGAGACTTCAACACTATAAACATGTTCAGTGTCATGAGACTTCAACACTGTAAACATAGTACGTGTCATGAGACTTCAACACTATAAACATGTTTAGTGTCATTAGACTTCAACACTATAAACATGTTTAGTGTCATAAGACTTCAACACTATAAACATGTTTAGTGTCATGAGACTTCAACACTGTAAACATGTTTAGTGTCATGAGACTTCAACACTGTAAACGTGTTTAGTGTCATGAGACTTCAACACTGTAAACATGTTTAGTGTCATGAGACTTCAACACTATAAACATGTTAAATGTCATGAGACTTCAACACTATAAACATGTTTAGTGTCATAAGACTTCAACACTATAAACATGCTTAGTGTCATGAGACTTCAACACTGTAAACATGTTTAGTGTCATGAGACTTCAACACTGTAAACATGTTTAGTGTCATGAGACTTCAACACTGTAAACATGTTAAGTGTCATGAGACTTCAACACTGTAAATGTGTTAAGTATCATGAGACTTCAACACTATAAACGTGTTTAGTGTCATGAGACTTCAACACTGTAAACATGTTTAGTGTCATGAGACTTCAACACTGTAAACATGTTTAGTGTCATGAGACTTCAACACTATAAACATGTTAAGTGTCATGAGACTTCAACACTGTAAACATGTTTAGTGTCATGCGACTTCAACACTGTAAACTTGTTAAGTGTCATGAGACTTCAACACTGTAAACATGTTTAGTGTCATGAGACTTCAACACTGTAAACATGTTAAGTGCCAGGAGACTTCAACACTGTAAAAATGTTAAGTGTCATGAGACTTCAACACTGTAAGCATGTTAAGTGTCATGAGACTTCAACACTGTAAACATGTTTAGTGTCATGAGGCTTTAACACTGGACACTAACCATGTTTACCACTTTGGTGAAACCCACAAGCACGGGCGTGGTGCTGACAAACCTAGAAACATCTTCAGAGCTAACCAGGATTCAAACCCACAATCATATTTTTCTGGCATGCACAAGAAACACATCTCTGCACAGCGGTTTGTGGCACCTAAGATGACTGGACCAACTGAGCCCCCGTTTGGACCCTGGAAGACAATGATGTTCTGCACAGACTCAGACTGTACAAGAGTGACCCCTATTCGGCTATACAGTATACAGATTCTCACCCATATATTGCAGAGTCCCACATATCGTTCTCGTTCTGTCACCTTTCTGCAGCCATTTGGATAGCCCAAAATCTATGAGCTGTATGTGGCCTGAAACAGAGCATACAGATTGCATTGACAATGTTTCTTAAGTTAAAGGTATACAGGGGCTAGTACTAGTAGAATTCAAACTATTCAAATAATGTCATTCTGTGTAATCACAATTCAGGAGAGTAAAATGATTTTATTTAAACAGAATCCCTCAACAGATGAGTTATTTGTCCACTGCCACTGCTCGCTCCTGGGCTTGTAATACGTGTGGCAGCATAGAGGAAGGCTATTTTTTGCTGATTGTTAAGATACAGAAATGGAAACTAGTACTCGATCAGGAAATCGTTCCTTATTTCTTAATTTCTTTTTTGAAAATGATTAAGATAAGGACCCAAATATGGACAAAACATACAGGTCACTCAAGATAGCATCTCTTCGTGGCCAACTATGTCCTATGACATGCAAGAGACATGGTCAGGGCCCCGTTCCACATAGCGACCTTAGTGCTACGACTATCGTAAGTCTATATAGAAGTAAGAGAGATATGATCGTCTTAGCTCTACAATTGCTCTGTGGGACAGGGCCCTGAACAAGCATAGCGACCTTAGTGCTACGACACGTGTAAGTCTATATAGAAGTAAGGGAGATATGATCGTCTTAGCTCTACAATTCCAGTTTTGGAACAGGGCCCTGAACAAGCATAGCGACCTTAGTGCTACAACTATCGTAAGTCCATATAGAAGTATGGGAGTTAGGATCGTCTTAGCTTTACAATTGCTTTGTGGAACAGGGCCCTGAACAAGAAATAAATCTTCAATGACTGATAGCTTAATTCCTACCTTTGGGATCAAAAAGGATATTTTCCATCTGTAAATAACACAAATACAAGTTGTAAATGGTATTGGATATAAAAAAATGCACTGAAGTGATACCATCAACACATGGTCATCAACAAAGATAAGATAATTTATTGGATGAATAATGGTTATTTCACAAAAATCATTTTGGAAATATTTTTCTAGTATATTTTAGGCAAAATGTCTGACCATAAAGTCATTAACATAAATATTTTCAAGAACTATTTACATACTGTAATAAAACAGAAAGGATCTCACCTTTAAATCCCTAAAAATAACACCTGAATTATGAAGGTAGTCTGAAAAAAGAAGATTGTTTAGTGTTATGAAGAGGATGGTCAAGTGGTCATATTGTTTTAGGTGGTAATATCACATTGAACAGTGTTTTAGTCATATCAGGACAATAAGTTTTCATACAATCTTATAAAAATCTATTACTCCGGTCTGGCCAGGGGGCATGGATGGCTCTGTCGTCTAATGCGCTGCAATTTGCTGTGTGGAGTTGCCAGAAACCTATGATTGTGGATTCGAAACCCTGTTTGCCCCAATTATGTTTTGAGGTTTTTCAGCACCATACCCGTGCTCGTGGGTTTCAAAGTGGTAAACGTCTAAGACCTGCATCATTTCGGGCTTTCCTCCCACATCAAACTGAAATGCCGTGATATAACTGGAATATTGTTCAAAGTGACGTTAACCCAACTCACTCACTCATTCATCAGGGGATCAGGGGATAAAAAATGGAGGTCCCCGGCTACCACGTGTGGGTCAATGAAATGTAAAGAAATATTGAACACAGTATTCTAACACAAGTGATGTAAGATTGCACATGCTTATGGAACATGTTAGAACCACAAGCTTGAGGACAGCACGGACAAGAACATGTTAGAACCACAAGCTTGAGGACAGCACGGACAAGAACATGTTGGAACGACAAGCTTGAGGACAGCACAGACAAGAATATGTTAGAATGACAAGCTTGAGGACAGCACAGACAAGAACATGTTGGAACGACAAGCTTGAGGACAGCACGGACAAGAACATGTTGGAACGACAAGCTTGAGGACAGCACGGACAAGAACATGTTGGAACGACAAGCTTGAGGACAGTATAGACAAGAACATGTTGGAACGACAAGCTTGAGGACAGCACGGACAAGAACATGTTGGAATGACAAGCTTGAGGACAGTATAGATAAGAACATGTTGGAACGACAAGCTTGAGGACAGCACGGACAAGAACATGTTGGAATGACAAGCTTGAGGACAGCACGGACAAGAACATGTTGGAACGACAAGCTTGAGGACAGCACAGACAAGAATATGTTAGAATGACAAGCTTGAGGACAGCACGGACAAGAACATGTTGGAACGACAAGCTTGAGGACAGTATAGACAAGAACATGTTGGAACGACAAGCTTGAGGACAGCACAGACAAGAATATGTTAGAATGACAAGCTTGAGGACAGCACGGACAAGAACATGTTGGAACGACAAGCTTGAGGACAGCACAGACAAGAATATGTTGGAACGACAAGCTTGAGGACAGCACGGACAAGAACATGTTGGAACGACAAGCTTGAGGACAGCACAGACAAGAATATGTTAGAATGACAAGCTTGAGGACAGCACAGACAAGAACATGTTGGAACAACAAGCTTGAGGACAGCACGGACAAGAACATGTTGGAACGACAAGCTTGAGGACAGCACAGACAAGAATATGTTAGAATGACAAGCTTGAGGACAGCACGGACAAGAACATGTTGGAACGACAAGCTTGAGGACAGTATAGACAAGAACATGTTGGAACGACAAGCTTGAGGACAGCACGGACAAGAACATGTTGGAATGACAAGCTTGAGGACAGTATAGATAAGAACATGTTAGAATGACAAGCTTGAGAACAGCACAGACAAGAACATGTTGGAACGACAAGCTTGAGGACAGCACAGACAAGAATATGGTAGAATGACAAGCTTGAGGACAGCACAGACAAGAACATGTTATAACGACAAGCTTGAGGACAGTATAGACAAGAAAATGTTGGAACGACAAGCTTGAGGACAGCACGGACAAGAACATGTTGGAATGACAAGCTTGAGGACAGCACGGACAAGAATATGTTGGAATGACAAGTTTGAGGACAGCACGGACAAGAACATGTTGGAATGACAAGCTTGAGGACAGTATAGACAAGAACATGTTAGAATGACAAGCTTGAGAACAGCACAGACAAGAACATGTTGGAACGACAAGCTTGAGGACAGCACAGACAAGAATATGTTAGAATGACAAGCTTAAGGACAGCACGGACAAGAACATGTTGGAACGACAAGCTTGAGGACAGCACAGACAAGAATATGTTAGAATGACAAGCTTGAGGACAGCACGGACAAGAACATGTTGGAACGACAAGCTTGAAGACAGTATAGACAAGAACAGCTTGGAACGACAAGCTTGAGGACAGCACAGACAAGAACATGTTGGAACGACAAGCTTGAGGACAGCACAGACAAGAACATGTTGGAACGACAAGCTTGAGGACAGTATAGACAAGAAAATGTTGGAACGACAAGCTTGAGGACAGCACGGACAAGAACATGTTGGAATGACAAGCTTGAGGACAGCACGGACAAGAACATGTTGGAATGACAAGCTTGAGGACAGTATAGACAAGAACATGTTATAACCACAAGCTTGATGACAGCACAGACAAGAACATGTTGGAACGACAAGCTTGAAGACAGTATAGACAAGAACATGTTGGAACGACAAGCTTGAGGACAGTATAGACAAGAACATGTTGGAACGACAAGCTTGAGGACAGCACAGGCAAGAACATGTTGGAACGACAAGCTTGAGGACAGCACAGACAAGAACATGTTATAACGACAAGCTTAAGGACAGCATAGACAAGAAAATGTTGGAATGACAAGCTTGAGGACAGCACGGACAAGAACATGTTGGAATGACAAGCTTGAGGACAGCACGGACAAGAACATGTTGGAATGACAAGCTTGAGGACAGTATAGACAAGAACATGTTAGAATGACAAGCTTGAAGACAGTATAGACAAGAACATGTTAGAATGACAAGCTTGAGGACAGTATAGACAAGAACATGTTGGAATGACAAGCTTGAGGACAGTATAGACAAGAACATGTTAGAATGACAAGCTTGAGGACAGCACAGACAAGAACATGTTAGAACTGCAAGCCTTAGGACAGTATAGACAATAACATGTTAGAACTGCAAGCCTTAGGACAGTATAGACAATAACATGTTAGAACTGCAAGCTTGAGGACAGCACGGACAAGAACATGTTGGAACGACAAGCTTGAGGACAGTATAGACAATAACATGTTAGAACGACAAGCTTGAGGACAGAATAGACAAGAACACGTTATAACGACAAGCTTGAGGACAGTATAGACAAGAATTTGTTAGAACGACAAGCTTGAGGACAGCACAGACAAGAACATGTTGGAACAACAAGGTTGAGGACAGCACAGACAAGAACATGTTAGAATGACAAGCTTGAGGACAGCACAGACAAGAACATGTTAGAACGACAAGCTTGAGGACAGCACGGACAAGAATATGTTAGAATGACAAGCTTGAGGACAGCACGGACAAGAACATGTTGGAACAACAAGCTTGAGGACAGCACAGACAAGAACATGTTGGAACAACAAGCTTGAGGACAGCACAGACAAGAACATGTTAGAATGACAAGCTTGAGAAAAATGCCAATAAGACCAACTGTTTTTAATTTCAACATATCTATCTCTTATAAAATCAACAATCCATATTTTCAGAAAGGATTCCAAAGCTGTACTCACCCAGTACCATGGACATCTCGGCAATGTACACTCTGACCAGCCTCTCTGGAAACATGGTGTGGAACGTCCACAGAGAGAACAGGTCACCATGAGGGACGTAATCTAGCACTGGAAAGGAAACAATATATATTAGTCTTGTATTGGTAACAGACATTACATGACAAAATTGGTGAAAAAGTCCCACTGTTGACATGGCTGAAAGAGAGCTTGTTGGTCAAATGGGTTTGGTCATCACATAAATGGTGAGATAATGTACTGGACTAATTTCTCTTTCTGCAATTTACAAGAACACTTGGTCAAATTGATTTGAGAATAAGACCCTCCCTGCTTCAATATTGTGTGTTTGTTGTTTAATGCCACACGCAACAATATGACGGCAACCTGTAAATAATCAAGTCTGGACCAGACAATCCAGTGACCGATATTGTGAGCAACTATCCATGCCATCGGCATGATCGGGGTACAAGCTTAAGCTTGTTATAAGCAGTGACAAACGGGATCGGGTGGTCAGGGTCGCTGACATGGTTGATGAATGTCATCGTATCCCAATTGCATAGACTGACACTTATGATTACTTTCAGACTACTGTCCTATAGCTGGAATATTGTGTGCGGTGTTAAACAACACACAAACAAAAGTTGAGTGAGTGAGTGTTTTTGAAGACCAATCAGCAATATTCCAGCTATATGACGACGGTCTGTGGCTTGTCACTGGCTTGTAAAGAAGTGAGACAATACAAAAAAAACTACTAAATACATAGGTGAGGGTCTAAGCCATCTAAGGACATCTTCCCAGGCAAGGGTGTTAACTGACTAAAAAGTCCAGTTTCCACCCTTGCCGACCTTGGCTGGAATTTTGGAGTAATCCGGTACGTAAACAACATGGATTTCAAAGTGCAGATTAGAGTCGACCGAAGGATTTAAAAAAGATGTGTACCATCAACTGGGTGTCGACAGATGTTTTCCGAATCTTTTCATGTTTTAATCAAGGTGCTCAAGTGACTTGAAACACTTTACACTTTATTACAATACAGATCTTGATCATCGATCAGATTGTCTTGACTGGGTGCCGCCATTTAGTTTGAAACACATGAAGTGATATGAGAGGTGGAATCTGATTGGCTAACAAGAGGGGAATAGGAGGGACATATATCGTAATAGTCACTGACTGCGTCACAATCGAGCCCAGAAATTCCAGCCTATTTCAGCAAGGGTGGAAACTGGACTTTTAGAGTCAGTCAACTCCCTTGCCTAGGGAAGATGTCTGGCTACAAACCATGTAAGTCACAGACCACCTGTAAGATCCCCTAAACCCTAGGTTAGTTGGCTCTCAGTGTAATCACAGGTTACTTAGGCCCAATTCTGAAAATCCCGAATCCACAATGGCATTAAGTATTCTGAAAACAGAAGTAGGCAGGGCCCCTCTATCTTCCTAGTATGGAAAAGCTGGGCGTCTAGAATCTTGTTCTTGGCCATAGAACATGCATCTTAAAGAATCTTCAATGTTCATGCAATATTCAAAATTCATGCTAGTCTCAGTGTTCCCATTTACCGGTAATTACCAGTTTTTTACCGGTAAAATTAAGCTTGGACCGGTAATTCACGTTACTGCCCGTCCCTGTGGACCGGCAAAATAGCATCTTAGAAATCTGTGTTGTTGAACAAAACATTGACGTTACTCAAATAAGTATATATTTCGAACAAAGTCAAGTTGTCAGTTGACTTCTTGGTTCCCCTTGTCTGTTTTTAGTGCTATTAAATAGCATTTCGCTTTGCTTCAAGGTTAAATATATATTTGCAGTGATTTAGTCTTGAAATATTATACAAAAAGAGAGTGGAAAGAATTAAAACCAGGTGATTTTCATGCGTTTTTTCATTTGTTGAAAGTTGGAACTGACAAAAATTAGGGGTGACTGGTAATTTTTAGAGTTGCCAGTCGTGGTGGACTGGCAGTTTCAAACGCCAGCGGGAACACTGAGTCTGCTGGCTTCCGACAACTAAACTTCGCAGAGGACAAAAAACCCATCCAATGACGGTAGTCCTCATAGATTTGTAGCAATTGAGGGCTATAATTCTGAACTTGTTCTCAATGCTTCACTTTATCAACAACTCGGAACTACCTAAAACTGACAGAAAATATAAACGTATCAAATGTTTTGTCTTGTTCATGCAGGACTAGCTACAAACACTTAGGGTTAGTAAAATGACATTTCCTCTGGACTAGTCTTTAAAAAATGAAATTTAAAGGCTGAATGTTGTCTTACCTATATACAAGTATTTCTTGGATTGCCAGTATTCATTAAGTTTAACGATGAATGGATGATCACCGAGCATGGACTGAAACAAGAATGTCACACATGGTTATCTCAAGAATAACTGCACTTGTCCCTTCTACTGCTATATATACTACTCAAATCGAGTCAAAGAACACCCGCATTTGGACTTCTGTGTGCTGCAATACCCACCAACCGAGTAATTATAGTCAAGTGAAAAATAGGATTTTCTTTAATGCCTTTGTGCATATCTGGCAACATCCAAACAGTGTTGCGGCAGATATCTACGTTCAAAGGACCCTGGCCACAGAAAAGAAAAGTTGGTTGGTTGGTTTTGTGTTGCACTCAGCAATATTCCAGCTATATGACGCAGTCTGTAAATATTCGAGTCTAGACCAGACAATCCAGTAATTGATATCATGAGCATCGATCCACGCAATTGGGATCGATGACATGGTTCAACTAGCGAGCCTGACCACCCGATCCCGTTAGTCGCCTCTTACGGCAAGAGAAACATTTTTTAGTTCTTCAAAAATAAGTGGTTCTTGTTTCGAATTGGTTTGTTATTTTGGCTTTAAGGTACTTATGATTCTTCCTCACCATAACTTTTTTTGTTTTATTTTTCTTGTCAACAGCAGTCTGTAAATAACCAAGTCTGGACCAGACAACCCAGTGATTGACATCTTGAGCATCAATCTACACAATTGGGATGCATCAATCAAATCAGCGAGTCTGACCACCCGATCCTGTAAGTCGCCTCTTACGGCAAACATGGGTTGCTGAAGACCTATTCTACACCAGATCTTCACAGGTCACAAACACATTGACCCCGGTAGAAACTGACAACATTTCTGTAAATATGCAAACTTAAATGTCAGTATCATATCAAAAACTTTAACGGATTTCTTTTTTACAAAAACATAGCAATCTCTTTTTATTTGGGTACAAACAATATTTTTTTAAACCCTGGCTGCCACCAGTGGCTGTAAATCGCCCACCTGTATTGCTGCCTCATCTTTACACTGCTGTATTGCACTCTCCCCGATGATCTGCTTCTTCTCTAGCACCTGGAGCACCAAGTTCCATCATAAGCTACATGTCACTGCATTATGAGCTACACGTCACTACATCATGAGCTACACATCACTACATCATGAGCTACACTTCACTGCATCATGAGCTACACGTCACTACATCATGAGCTACACGTCTACATCATCATGAGCTACACTTCACTACATCATGAGCTACACATCACTACATCATGAGCTACACATCACTGCGTCATGAGCTACATGTCACTACATCATAAGCTACACATCACTACATCATGAGCTACACTTCACTGCATCATGAGCTACATGTCAGTGCATCATGAGCTACACATCACTACATCATGAGCTACACATCACTGCCTCATGAGCTTCATGTCACTACATCATGAGCTACTCGTCACTACATCATGAGCTACATGTCACTACATCATAAGCTACACATCACTACATCATGAGCTACACATCACTGCGTCATGAGCTTCATGTCAGTGCATCATGAGCTACACATCACTACATCATGAGCTACACATCACTGCGTCATGAGCTTCATGTCACTTCGTCATGAGCTACACATCACTACATGATGAGCTACACATCACTGCATCATGAGCTACACATCACTACATCATGAGCTACATGTCACTACATCATAAGCTACACATCACTGCGTCATGAGCTTCATGTCACTACATCACGAGCTACACATCACTGCATCATGAGCTACATGTCACTACATCATGAGCTACATGTCACTACATCATGAGCTACACGTCAATACATCATGAGCTACACATCACTGCGTCATGAGCTACACATCACTACATCATGAGCTACACATCACTACATTAGCTACACATCACTACATCATGAGCTACACATCACTACATTAGCTACACGTCACTGCGTCATGAGCTACACGTCACTACATCATGAGCTACACATCACATCAAGAGCTACACATCATGAGCTACACAGCACCATCAACTGGAGTCAATTTGCCATCTGAAGCTGCTTACTTGCTAACATTTCATCCTATTAAAGAGACCTATGTGGCCATCACATTAGTCTTGTGTACCTGAACATACCAACATTTATAAAATATACACAAAAAAGCACAAAGCAAGAAGAATTTTTAAGCCTCAATTGTTTCATATATTTTGAGAAAGATTTAATCAGACACATGCCATCTTTGTCAACCTTAAATCTACGTACCTTGACTGCATAAAATTTCTTCTCATCTTCTCGCTGTGCCTTGAGGACATTGCCATAGGCTCCCCTCGCAATGATGTCTATCACCTAGACACAAGCACAAGCACTGTAGCTTACCTGGACATGAAGTCAACGGTTTCAAATGTCAACAAGCACATTAATATTCAAATATTTTCTGCAACAATACATTAAATAATACCAAGGAGCGAGTGAGTTGGGTTTAACGCCGCTTTTAACAGTATTCCAGTTATATCACAGCGTGTCAGCTTAATGTGGGAGAAAAGCCCTAAGTGATGCAGGTCTTAGACGTTACCACTTCGCTGAAACCCACGAGCATGGTGCTGACAAACCTAAAAACATAATCGGGGTGAACCAGGATTCCAAACCACAATCATATGATAGGTTTCTGGCGTGCCCAAGGAACACAACTCTGCACAGCAAATCGCGGCGCCTTAGATGACTGAGCCACCCGTGCCCCCAAATAATACAAAGGACAACACTAAATTCTCTAGATCTGAACGAAACATGTCACAAAAAGGAGAAATATACATATATATGCCAAAGTTCAGTTTCCTCAATCTTGCACCTTCAGGGGAGGCTTGAAAATAGGTAAGATAGTGCAAAAAGGAAATGTGTTAATCCCAAAACTAATGAACGAAAAACCAAATTTCACACCATTTTGAAAACATTTTGCCATGTACTGCTCATAAATATTATTTTCAACATGGTTGCCAATTGCATAGATGATGTCAATCACTGGATTGTCTGGTCCACACTTGATTATTTACAGGCCGTCATCACACAGTTGGAATATTACCGATTGGGGCATTAAACACCAAACTAACAACCGTCACTCAGACAATGAATTAATGGTTTCTCTTTTAATAATTTTACCTCAAATTCTTGTTCTTCCAGGTCTCTTCTGACGGGGAAGTCTGGCAAGAAAAGGGCTTCAGTCAGGGGCACCCCCCACAGGTGAGGGGGCTCTTCTCGGCGTGGTGCATGAACCCGCCGTACGTCTCGAGATGAACCAATGCGAAACAGGCGGTTGGAACTACGGGACTTCTCTCTCACAAATGATGCATTGGCTGATAAGCTCTGTAGAATTGTAGAATAGAAAATAATGAGGACCAAAATGGACAACAAAAACGTATGGATACTGTTGACTTACCCTCTAATACAAGGAGTATATGTCTATATCTTACGACAGATGTCAGCATATCTCTTCACCCCACATTCTATAGACTATGGATCATGGAAGGTCTTGAAAAAAATCTTTAACCTAACTTGTCCTGTAAGTACATTATATTTGTGCAGATATCATTTTGTACTCATCCTGCATTACTTTCACTTGCCCTTTTAAATTTTAGAAAGTTTTATGTTCCCAGCTATTATTGCCATTTTCTGTAAATAAATTTTGTGAAATATTTTTTTTTACAAATATATCATTTTCTGACTTATATATTGAGTAACTTTGACATTAGAGCAACAGTAATGAGTTGCTTACATTGCTCACAACAAAAAGAATAAATATTATTACCTTCCTTTAAAACTCTTGTTTCGAGATGTGCTGCACAAGCACACTTTCTGTTATTTTACAGACAGTTGCAACGTATGCTTGATAATCATGATGATGTGAGTGACTTGTATATTGTTTGTATCACTGATAACACACAAGATATGAAAAATCGTATATAAGGTTTGCAATTATCCTGCACAACTTATTCAAAATGATTAGAGATGAATTTATACAACTGAAATATTTACTCGCACAGAAGGACGAGCATTTGCTAATTTCTATGGATTGCTGAAGATAAATTCTAACCTGAATCTCACATTGTCTAAGATACAATGGGGTTTAACGTAGTGTTCAAGATTGTTGCACTTATACACCAAAGTTCAGGGACGTGTAAGTGTCTGGCTGCTTGTGCTTGTACTTATGGTGATTTTATAGTGCTAGCCCACTGAGATGCCATGCCACAGTTTAACATGAATACCCCACTCAGACAAAGTATACTGACTCCGAGACGACCTGTTCATTGCATGGCCAACAGCAGTTTTTGCTAAATTTTCATCTTAATGCCAGAACAAAGATTTCTTGCAGGATTCACAAGTTTATTTTCACATACTGTTATAGAGTATGATACATGTATGTAGGAAAACCTAACTCTACAAAGTGTATGTTCCATTGTAAAGCTCGAAGGTGTGGTTGAGACCACGGGTAGGTGTAGGTCCGTGAATTTATACAAACTATTTCTACCCTGAATTAGACAATGTGCAAAACGTTACCCTTCCAGGTTAAAGTGTGATAATCTCTTGATACATTAAACAGAACAAAAAACACATATTCTGTTAAAACATAACAGGATACACATTGTGACAATCCCCCAAATATCAACCGGTGACAGAAAATGTTGACATTTACCTGGGTGTCCGGTACGGATACAGCTTTCCTTAGCGGCGCTTTATCGTGACTGTTTCCCATATCCAATGTGGCATTTTTCACAAAATGCCTTTGTAAACATCTACACGAGATTTAGATGACAATATCCATTTTGTTGACATGAAAGGTCTTTATGATCAAATTTCATGTCATCCATTGATATTGCCGCTTTTCCTGTTCCGGAAGGTCATACTACTCGATAAACAAAATACATCAACTTGAGATATTTATCCAGAACGGATTTAGATAATTAGTTTCATATAGACATACATCTTATCAGAATGACCCAGAAGTGCCTAATTTAGGTGTATATATCTTTTTTTAAAGAAAATAATATTTCAACATATTGTGGTTATCGGTGTGAATGTACAGTAACTTTGTAAGTCGGACATGCCTGTGGGATCAAGTTTGCCTCGAATGTTATCGCAAGTTCCCGTTTAAGTATATTTCCGTAAACGCCCGATAAGGTCTGAATGTTTCACTCGGAAACATGTTATTGGGTGTTTGCAAAAGATGGATGAGATATGTTCCGGCTATGTAAATGAACACAAAATGCAAGCCCTACAAAGGCCAAAATGCTTACAAAATGGTTCATTCGATTAAAAAAAGGCCCAGCAACAATGTACTATGGAACGAGGCTGATTGTGTGACAAACTTTTCGTTACACGGTGCTATATTTAACATGACGACTTTAAAGAATTAAGTGAATTTTACAACGCTTCAATTAATATTCCAGCTCCTGAATTTGAAAACTCAGATGTAAATACCAAGTTTGGATACTGTTTTATGTCGGTTACCACAACATTCCAGTTACATCACAGCTGGAGACACCACAAATGAGCTTTATGCGGAAGGAATCGAACTCGGGTCCTCGGCGAGTCGAGCATCCTCCCGAGGCAAGGGAGTTAACTGACTGTAAAAGACTCCCTTGCCACGGGAAAATGCGAGGCGAACGAGGTAGTGAGTTGGGTGTAACGCCGTTTTTAACAGTATTCCATCTTAACGCGGCGTGTCAGCTTTATGTGGAAGGAAAGTCCGAAGTGATTCAGGTCTCAGACCTTACCACCGGTGAAACCTACAAGCACGGGTATAGTGCTGACAAACCTAGAAACATAATCAGGGCGAACAGGGATTCGAACCCACAATCATAGGTTTTTGGCGTGGTGACATTGTTGTAAATTACTGGAATGTCACGGAGTCGTTTAGATTAACATATAGTCCCAAAAATATAATTATGTATTGATCAGGTTTTACAATATAATTCTATTGTGACTCATTGTTTGTTGTTTTACGACACACTTAGACTTACATCTAGTCTCTGAAATGAACATATTGTACAGAAAAAAACAGTTGTTAAATTATAGTTATAAAATATAATAAAAAGGAGCCCAGAGACTTTCTTCACTGCAGTAATCTAGACTTTCCAAACATTATAGACGTGCCTGGGCTGTATAGGATATGTGTGTTTCAGGGTCTGTATGACAGACTACGACTCACTCGACAATATTCCATCTATACTTGCCGATGGTCTGCATGTAATTGAGACTGGACCAGAAAATTAAGTAACAAGTGACGTCAAACAAATCGATCCAGCCATTTGGGATGTGATGACATGCACAATGAACCCAGTCAGCGAGCCGGACCACTCGATCCTTATTGTCGCCTGTATATTTCTTACGCGCGGATCTAAATAGAAACACCCCGAGTCAAAAGATACACTCATAATCTCAGACCCATAGTTGGAAAGGGGTTATAGCTAAAACGGCAATTCAACAAAACGGCACCGTTCGGCGAAAACGTCACCTCGCCTAAAGCGAAAACGGTTACTATTGCCTGACGAAATAAAAGTAATAAACCTCACATCGTCACTTGCAAACACCCGTTGGAAAAGGGATGAGGATGTTAATTATGTTACTGCCGTGATGGGGATGAGGATGGGACTGCATGGTGTGATGGTTTCAAAACATTGATGATCTAGGGTCTGGACACGGAGACTAGAAAAAAAGTGTTGTCCGCTTCAATTTCGGTTATATGCGTGTTAGACTTTTCAAAACCGTTTTCTTTCCATTTCATAGAACTATAATATCAATCACTTACATTCAGATTGTGATGTGGTTATAATGATCATGCTGGTGATGTTTTACAACATATGCACGCATGACGTGCCCAGTTCATCCTTTGAAAGATCACAGAATTTTAATTTTTAATTTCTTCTCTAATGAAAAAAACTGAACATTTGGAGAGAAGGACTCGTTTAATTCAACATCTGATCAATCACCATGGTGACAATGACACCTCTTTACAGAAATAGATGAATATCAACAGTCTTCATCTCCTCTAGAATCCGATGCAACCAGATTCTTATTATTATGTAAATGTAGATGTAAAGTTACAGAAAATATACCAACCCACTGCTTGGGTCACGTTTACAGACAAGATATTTAAAAGAAAGTAGGAGAAACAACGCAATTCCGGATTCATTTGTATACATAGCCATTCCACCTTTTACATACATCAAAGCAGTCAAAATGGCGTCGAGACTCGGGAGTGTGATTGCAAGGAGACTTTCATCTGTCCAGGGATCCTCTGCTGTAGCAGGGGAACATTCTGGTAAATTGAGTACAAATGCAATTGTCAATATCCCTTTTTTTAATCTGGAGTAACGGTTACTTTTTTTTGTCGAAGTTTGTTGATAAATAACGTACGTGCAATGGTGTGGTGTGTAAATGGTTGCTCTGCTGAGCATGTTTTGAAAGTTCGAAGGAGAGCTAGTGCAAAGAAGCTAGACAGTATTTAACAACCGTCTGTGAAACAACAGGTTAATTAATAATTTCCCCATTAGAGTTTGGATACTTGTAGTCTTTTGATCGGTTTACTAGGTGTATGACAATGAACTTCATATGACCTTCACAAATTTCCGCAGAATGCATCGGGTGGTTGATAAGTCTGTGAGTTCAATACGAATGAATAGGTTTGATTTCGGAAGGTAACAAACGTTATAAAAATAATATTTGGGTAACAATGCAATACCGACCGCAAATTTCTAGGCTACAGCGCTTCGATCCACATGATCCAAAGGATGAGTTTTCAGCATCAGGAGTTTGTACTCCTTATTATTTCAATATTAGGGCCTATAGGAGTACTGGCAAAACTAAAGAGTACACTTTGAGTACTGAATGGAATTTAATCTTGTATTTCAATTTAGATATGCACCACAGCATTTCTACTCTCATCATGCTCATGTAAACAGGTCCTTAAATAATACTTTTTGTTGTTGTACATTTATGTCTCTTGTACCATGTTGTACAGTGTGCACCCCTGAATTCCCGTTTTAGCACATTTTTTCATATGAAGGTGTCAATAATGGTAATCTGACCGTGGTTGCTGTAAATCATGGTAAGTTGTGCGATCTACCGATCACTTCACACATGATTTTGCCAAAATTGATGTAAACGATATTGAATGAAACTTTGAATAATATTATTAAAATAGGTTACAAACAAGGCTAGATATACAATGAACACTTTTTGTAACCAGACAGTGTAATTACATGTTTTATTTATGTTTGTTGACATGGTATTGCTGGTGTTACATGCTCACCGTCAATTCTTTGCCTGGGGGTAAAAAAACATGAAAACTCATTATGGCGTGTATAATGGGCACCCCCTTTAGACGGCTGTGTTTTTTGGAAAAAAAGTGTGCACTGTACTCAAGGAAATACACTGCTGGAAATCAGAATATCAATTTTGGGAAATACGTCTGTAAATGAATGTTACACCGGACACGTATGCTGTGATGTATATCTGATGTTTTCTAAAATAACCCCCACCGTATCATGCATATTTTCATCTGTACATATGCTGATATAGCCTTTATCTGGAGCCCTGTTTCATCAACACAGTTCTTATCTCCAGCAACCAACAATCTCTCTTTGTTTAAATGTCTTCTATAAATCTGCCCAAATAACTCAACAACTCAATGACAAGGTTGCTTGATTCATAGTGAAAGGATTGAGGCCATAGAATCTAAAATTCAATGAATTTGTCATGTGTTTAGTTCAGAACACAATTGTTCATCACTGATGACATTGCTCAGAAAAATGTTAATGGTATATTTGCAATACCTGCCACGATAGTGTCACAATATAAAAAACAATCTAGGCTATACAGCTCTGCAAGCAACCATGCTTGTCCAGTTCTGTGAATGCGGAATAATTTGCAGAAAATGTAACAACCCTGAATTGCAGGGAAATTGCAAAATTTGCCTGTTTTTTATCTGTCACCAATGGTCATTAATTTCAAGCTTTTCTATCGGATTTAGCGGTCGAATGATGCCAAAACATTTAACATGTGATTCAAATATACAAGATAAGAATCTTACAATAAAACAAAGTTTGAAATAAGTATTCTCTCTTTTTAACTTTTTTGTTGTTGGTATTATGACTACATAAACTATGTACACATCTAACCATAAATAAAATAGATAAAAAACCCTTGAAGAAACAAAATGGGTTTGTATTAATGTTTGAGAGGAATTTATTTTGTTTTTACAGCAGAATTTTGTAATTTTAGCAGCATAATAACGGATTTTGATAATTATGCAGCAGAGTTCAGCTGGGACTGCTTGTCTTCAAAATGACTTTAATGGATCAGGTGGTCAGTCACAGAGACGTGATGGATTGTGTCACTATGGCCATGATGGCTATTGTACTTTGCCAATAAACTCAATCACTGGCTGGTGTATCCAAGACTATAATGAGTACTGAAATTCTTTTTGTAATATCCTTGCATAATATCTAGAGTTATTACCCACGCGGTGAAGATACAGGTGGTAAGATACTAAATCCGTACGTCACACACGTGTTGTACAATGTTGACCTTGTTTTATTCGTTTTGATTGGATAACCGTGACCTTGTTTTATTCGTTTTGATTGGATAACCGTGACCTCTGTTACATCGGGACTACTTTTTTCATTCATAAAAAATCGCGAGACGTCATTCATTTTGCAACTACAAGGCCGAACTGAAGCTGTCTCATGAGAGCGAGAGATATTTAGAAACACTTTATTAAACTAAACAAGATAGTCACACTCATCAAATTTGGTTTGCATTCTATATAAGTTATGCATGGAGCTTCTACAAGCCTACAATCGAGCCATATCCATTCACAATGTGCGACTGACTGCCTCCGTGGTCTAGTGGTAGAGCGTCCGCCCGGAGAACGGAAGGTCCAGTGTTCGATCCCAATCAGCGTCATACCAAAAGACGTTAAAAGATGGTACTTGTTGTTACCCTGTCTGGCGCTCGGCATTAAGGGGCTGAAGCAGGGACTGGTCGGCTCGGAGTCAGTATACTGTGTCTGATTGGGGTATTCATGTTAAACTGCGGCATGGTATCTCAGTGGGCTAGCACTATAAATCGGCATCAATCCGGACTAGTACAAGCAGCCACACAAACACACACACGTGCATGCATGTCGCTATATAAGTGTAATAATCTTGGATGCACTGTTAAACCCCATTTCACCTCATTTACAATGTACAATTACCGATCAATAGATCGAGGGTCCCCATGAGCGTGACGCACCCGACCACTTAACAAACTTTCTTTTTGGTTAAACATAAATAAGCGTGGTGAAATGAAGTCAGTTCGAACTATGTGGACAGATATCTAGACGTACTTGGGATGATCCGGTTGTGCCATCAGTGTCCACTTCGAGGCGTATTTTGTTGCACTATTTCAGGAGTTGTTTGTTCATGACTGCAGGACCAGATCACCCAAAGTGAATATTTCCGATACAAATCCTTTCGAAAACTCTGTAGAAGTGTGCCTGACTTCTGATTATGTGGCCGAGAATATCCCAAATATTAACGATAACATTCCCTATCTCTAGCGTAAAACGCTGTGAATAGATCATGGTCGCCATAGGTGCCGCGATCCGCTGTGCAGAGTTGCATCCCTTGGGCACGCCAGAAACCTATGATTGTGGGTTCGAATCCCGGTTGGCCCCGATTATGTTTCTAGGTTTGTCAGCACCATACCCGTGCTCGTGGGTTTCACCGAAGTGGTAAACGTCTGAGACCTGCATCACTTCGGGCTTTCCTCCCACATTAGGGCACATAAGCTGACACGCCGCGATATAACTGGAATACTGTTAAAAGCGGCGTTAAACCCAACTCACTCACTCACTCTTTCGAAGCTGTCACTGACATGCAAGCAGACTTGAAATTGTTGATTTTCATGTCTTCAGTATAAGATGGTACAATTATCATGAATGTCTTTTTCGAACACTCTGATTTCCCACTTCCTAAATGGTATGGACATGATATTAATTCAGCTTTTAGTCCGCTATTCAAAGCTCGGCGCTAATGTGAGTTTTCATATTTTCTTATAGGTGTCCTGCGTACTAATAACATGAATTGAATTATCATAAGTTAAAGAAATTCTTCCAATTCTTCCAATTCTTCCAAGGACCTTGAGCGTTGGTGCTGTTATGTTTGCAAACACAACTGCAGGCGCATGTTGTTAATGTGTATGCATAGAAATGTCAACAATGCCCATATTTGGGCATATATCAGAATTCATGCGCAATAAGATTTTGCAACCGGTTTCAGTTTGGTCTGTCAATGAAAGAAAGTTGTAATGTATTTTCTATAAATATATATTTAACGTGGGTAATCAATGAAATACCACACTCATTCTTGTTAGATACCATTTTTACGAAACTCGTGAACTTTCTATGTTATCTGACCTCGCTTTAGAAAGTCTACTCGTTTCATAAAAATGGTATCTAAGGAGAATGAGTGGAGTATTCTCTATTTATGTCCCTTGTCTTTGATAAGCGGACTTTGCCGAAATTAACTCCCTTTGTCTTCTGAGAAAAACAACAAAAATTCATCTGTCCAGGAGACGATGGTGCTTAAGAATACGAAATCATTTATTTTAATTTTTCTTTTTTCTACTTTCTTAAGGTAGTGTTTCTAAAAAACCTTCATTGTTCCAGTTTTATAAAAGAACCTGATGTCAGCTTTTTAGCAAACATTCCCTTCTCCAACATGTCAAACTTCTGACTTTGACAAATGAAATCTGTGATCCATAGAATAAATAATAATGTCCTAAACGGCAAAAGATAAAGCATCATGACTAGTGACTTAATGATAAGGAGCTTATTTTCCCACATACCAAAGTAAATATTTCTCAGCATGGTCACCGTCAGTTGCTTCCTTTTTGTAGTCAAGGACGGGAGATACCAATGTGAGAGAAGAATCATTTCAGCCATTTTGTCAACCAATTTCAAAAGGGAAACATTTATGCTTGAACTTCTGTGTTGATTTTAGGTTAAACGATACAATTTCTGTGTTGATTTTAAGTTAAACGATACAATTTCTGTGTTGATTTTAGGTTAAACGATACAATTTCTGTGTTGATTTTAGGTTAAACGATACAAGTAATAAGGAAACTTGTTACATATTTTTTACCCAGTATACCAGTACACAGAAAGAATATTGCAATATTGATGGAAAAGTGTGTTGTGTATACTGGTGTACCAATACTGTGCAGTCTTACCTGATATGTTTTATTTTGTTTTAAATGATTCAGTTTAGCCACTTAGCATGTAAGCACTGAGTTCATGGTAATCTTACCATGACAGATTAACTGTACTAAGGTTGTCCAGACTCCTTACTTTCTTTTGAGTAGCATACAATTGTGCAATTATGCTATTGATTTTTATTTGACTCTTTCAGGGGGTGCAAAAAAGTGGAAGATCCTGTCTTTCCTTGTGGCAGTACCCGGTGTTCTTGTCTGTTACGCCAATGCGTTCCTCTTGCAAGATCACCATATGAAGCCAGATGAATTTGTTCCATATGAACATCTCCGTCTCCGATCAAAGGTAATTATGTTGGCATACACATGTAAACACTTTGGGTGTCAAAAATGAAATTAATTATTCTGTTTATCATGTTTATGGATAAAAAGTTGTATTATGTATTTATCTAATACCTATTATCTAATAGACCTGCAATAAATAGGTTCAGTGCTGAATATGAACTAGGCTGATCAATTAATTACAATGTTTAAAATTATATTTTTTGCCTTTTCTTTGTCAATGTTGATCATGGTAATCTTAATCAGTATAAAAATATCTGTGGCAGTGAATTATTAATTTAGTATTGATATTCATAAATTTGTATCGATACACCGTTGATATTACAATGTTATCGGTACGTGGGTATAGTGATATACAATGACATCCGCAGCAAATCTATCCCTAAGATATACCCTGGCTTGATGTGGGAATAACCCTAAATTTGAAAATTCTTCACTGAAGCTACTGTCTTGTATATTGGGTACAGTAGACAATATCTGAAATAGCAATTAATATAGCATCACTTATTACATGAAACATGATCCTTGAAGATCCAGGTTAGAATAAGCTTGTCGTAAGAGGCAACTATGCTTGTCGTAAGAGGCAACTATGCTTGTCGTAAGAGACGTCTAACAGGATCGGTCGGTCAGGCTCACTGACTTGGTTGATGCATGTCATCATATCCCAATTATGTGGATCGATGCTCATGATATCAATCACTGGATTGTCTGGTCCAGACTCAATTATTTACAGACCGCTGTCATATAGCTGGCATATTGCTGAGGGCAGTGTTAAACAACAAACAAACAAATTGTATCTTGACTGCTGCATGCCTCCCCACACCACTACTTGGTGTCTTTGGGACATTGCAACTACGTTTCAAAGTCTTGATTACCTGTGGGGACCCTAGAACCTGTGGTACAGAAAGATCTAAGTACCTCATGCTTCTCAGGTAAGAGGGGTCCAGCAGAGTTAGAAATTAACCTTTGTCCATTTAGCCAGGACAAGTACAAATATAAAATGACTAGTACAAATCAATAATGACCAGCGATTTCTTTTGAACAAACATTTTAGGTAGGTAGCAAATTTGAAGCAGATCATGTTTACAGAATACTGAAAACAACAATAAATTTCTAACCCTCTGGGTGTCTAAAATGTTTATGGAATGGTGACAGTGGCTGATTTAAGACGATGGAAAGTATTTGGGTGACAACCAGTGCAGATACTTTGATATGTTTCTAGTTCACTAGCCCCAGTCAGTTTGTCATGTTAAGGACCATCTCAATGGTCTAGTGGATTGAACATCTGCCTGGAGAATGGAAGGTCTGTGGTCCGATACCTGGCCGTGTCATACCAAAAGATGTTAAATGATGTACTTGTTGTTACCCTGTCTGGAGCTCAGTATAACAGGGGTGAAACAAGGGAGTCTGCATACCGTATCTGAGTGGGGTAACCATGTTAAACTGCGGCATGGTATTTCAATGGGCTAGCACTATAAAACCAGCTTTAGTTAGGACAAGTACAATGGCCACACATATATACAGGTGCATGCATATCACAGTATGTAAGTGAAATAATCTTGAACACGATGTTAGACCCCATTTCACCACACCAACCTCTTATGTTAAAGTTCTACTGAGGGCGAGTAGAATTTCAGACTCTATTGGGGATGCCCTCATAAATTTTCAGGTACAGTTGCATCCCCTTTGACTGCATACAGGGTTCTAACTTCCTTTAATTAAAATGTAAAGGGTTTGGTTAAAATGAAAAAAATCATAATGGCATGGTTAAGGTGAATAAAACTGTAATGAAATGGTGAAAATGAATAAAACTGTAATAGCATGGTTTAAATGAATAAAAAAATAATTGAATGGTTTAAATGAATAAAACTGTATAGCATGGTTAAAATGAATAAAATCATAATGGCATGCTTAAAATTAATAAGATTGTAATAGCATGGTTGAAATGAATAAAACTGTAATGAAATGGTGAAAATGAATAAAACTGCAATAGCATGGTTTAAATGAATAAAAAATAATGGAATGGTTTAAATGAATAAAACTGTATAGCATGGTTAAAATGAATAAAATCATAATGGCATGCTTAAAATGACTAATAACTGCCTCGCTTTGCAAAGCATATGTACCGACAGCTTGGCGTCAACAGATATTTTCCAAATCTTTTTATGCTTTTAATTCAAGATGCGCAAATGATTTGATGCACTTCGCGAGGAAAGACCCATTATATTATAATAAAGATCTAGATCATCGATAAGATTGTCTTGACTATGGACCGCCACTTTGTTTGAAGCAAATGCAAGTGATATGAGAGGTGGAATCTGATTGGTCAATAGGAGGGACATAAAACGGTCATAAGTCATAAGTCCACTAGTGTTGCAACAATCAAGCCCAGAAATTCCAGCCCAGTTCGACAAGGGTGGAAACTGGACTTTTATGGTCAGTTGACTCCCTTGCCTCAGGACCCGTGAAGATTCGGGGTAGAAAGGTCTTCAGCTACCAATGCTTGTTGTAAAAGGCGACTATGTTTGTCGTAAGAGGCGACTAACATGATCGGGTGGTCAGGCTCGGTTACTTGGTTGAAGCATGTCATCTATCCCAATTGCGTAGATCGATGCTCATGATATCAATCACTGGATTGTCTGGTCCAGACTATTTACAGACCACCGTCATATAGCTGGAATATTGCTGAGTGGAGTAAAACAACAAAACAGCCAACCAACCAACCCTTGCCTCCGGAAGATGCTGTTGGTCCTGGTATAATAATGTTAGAACTAATAAATATGAAAGAAGACATTACACTATAAAGTATAATTACCGTGGAGGGTTGTTTTGGTGGCTTATTCTGCTTTGGCATGTTTGAGCTTGCACCAGATTTCCACTTTCAATTAAAGAAATAATCTTCACCTCAAAATGACACTAGACCATTAGACTCTCATTTAATTCATTCCACAAGTCTTTGAGAAAATTCACTGCATTCTGCCCAATAGACAAGTCTCTATCTCAGACACTGAATGTCTTATTTTCAGGAAAGTTCTCTGGATTCATGATATACTACTCCACTTTTGATAGGGATAATCAGATATGTCAGATCTATGTAAATATACACTTGGCATTATGAGAATCTGTTTTGTGTATCATCAGATCATGGCAAGATAAAAATATCCCAATCAGAAGCGGGGTAGAATATTTGTCCTTGACCCTTCATGCTTATCCCCCTTTGCCTGGACCTCACTTGATTATGTTACAGACCACCGTGATAAGGATGGAAGTTGCCACCTGCTGTGTCAAACAACATTCAGTCACTCACTTTATGCTTCCATAGGATAATTATTGACTTGATGTAAGATTCTGATTGACTTTTGTTTCAGGGTTTCCCTTGGGGTGACGGTAACCACACCCTGTTCCACAACAAGCACCTGAACCCCCTGCCGGAAGGATATGAAGAATAATTAGTTGAATTATGAAATCTGTTGAGGCTTATGACTTTACATCAGGATAGCTGCGGGTTGGAACAGAATATTGGAGTTGATTGTCATTACTGTATTTCATTTCAACAAGAAACATATTTATCTTCTGTCAACTGAAAACTGTGTGAATGAAGATTAAAAGCTGTGTTAGAAAACATTTCTTTGTTTGATTTTTGTAGAGCAGAATTTTTTAAGCATGGTTGACTTTCCGACACCACTGTGTGGGTTTTCGAGTAGAATTGGTCCCAAGTACCCTTTGCTTGTCATAAATGCTGATTGGATGGCTGCAGTGAGGGACCTTGCTGATTGTGGCTTCATACATCGAGCTCATGCTTTCAGTCATCGGTTTACCTGGCCCATTGCCATGCTGCTGTGATTTAGCTGGTATATTGCAGACTGAGGTGTAATGTGACAGCCTAATCCTGTCTTTGTTGAACATATTGCAGAACTCCACGGATTAACCATCCACTTTGGTGGACTTTGTTAAGCAAGCTTTTCACAACATGTCATCATTGTCATGGTATGTATCCTGTGTTTGGATGTGTCAACACTGTGTTGTTGGTCATATGGAGAAGTTCCCTGTTTTGGAAGCATGATCGGAATGTATTGTAGGTTTGATGTGTGCTGTAAGTCATACTGCTTACTCCCAGTTGTGTCACACTGTGCCTTCAGCTACATGTTGCCTGTGGGGAATCTGGGTTTGTGTAGGTCCCCAGTGACCTATGCTGGTCGTTAGAGGCAATTTACTGAATCGGGTGGTCAGACTCGGTGACTTGGTTGATGTCATGGATCGTTGCTCATGTCAATCACTGGATTGTCTGTCCAGACAATTGTTTACAGGCCGCCGTCATGTTACTGGAAGATTGTGGAGTGCGGCGTTGAACAACGAAGATACAAAGACTTTTCCACATTGTAATAACCTGTTGGGATCCTTGCACAACAGAAAGATCCTATTACCTCTTGCTTCTCATAGTAGGGGTACAACAGGGTTTGAAGTTAACATTAGTCCAAGACAAGTACAAATCAGGAAGGACTGGTGACATTTTGTTATGAACATCCACTATAGGTAGGTAGCAAATTTGAAGCAGATCACGTTTGAAGGATTGTGAAAATAATTATGTTTCTAACCCTACAGGTGTCTAAAATGTGTGTGGAATGGTCACAATGGCACATTCATGACTATAGAAAGTATTGATGGTGACAACCAGTGCAGATACTTTGACATATTACTGTTCAGAGATGCAACATGGCACTAGCTAGCTAGCCCCAGCCAGTTTGTCTTATGTTAACATTCTACTGAACAATAGTAGAAATTCAGGTTCATTTGCATACCTGCTGACTGCATGCAGGGCTCAGAATTACCTCTGTCAGAGTGAGATGGGCATGATTTAGATAAAATGGTAATGGCATGATAAAAAAAAGTTCAAAGTGCCCAAGAGCACACTTTGAAATCATGTTTAAGACCAAAGCACCTTGTGGCACTGTTTATCATATGCAACCTTTGATAAATGTACTTTCAGACAGAAAAACTGGACAAATGCCATGAATACCTGAAAAGTGAACATGAGAAAAGTTTGAAGGGAGGAGGGACCTGGCAACTAAGGACCCTTAAACTGCTCTACAGGGTAGTGTTGCTTAGAGGTGCCAGATGTCCATGGTTGTGAGTTTGAATCCCAGATTTGGCCTTGTTAAGGTTTGTCAGAAGCATGACTACCGGTACTTGTTCCACCAAGCCACTTTGGGCTTTAGAAAGAACAAAGCTATGGTCTTGTTGTATCTCTAGTGGTCCTGGTATAATACTGTTAATGCTAAACAGCATTGAAAGAAAATATTACACCATTTTTACCGTGGAGGGTTGATTTGGTGGCTTATTGTGCTTTGGCATGTTTGAGCTTGCACCAGATTTCCACTTAAAATTGAAGAAATTAACCTCTCAAAATAATGCTAGACCATCAGATCCTCATTTAATTCATTTCACTAGTCTTTGAAAAAAGGTTACTGGAGTAAGACAAGCCTCTATCTCAGACACTGAATGTCTTATTTTCAGGAAAGTTCTCTGGATTCATGATATAATACTCCATTTTTGATAGAGATAATCAGATATGTCAGATCTCTTGAAATATACACTTGACATATTAAGAATCAGTTTTGTGTATCATGGTGTGATTAAATTATCCCTATCAAAAGTGGAGTAGTATATATGTCCTTGACCTTTCATGCTCATGCACTTAAAATCATTGCTCTTGCTTCTACTCACACGATTATGTTCCAGACCACCGTGATCCGGATGGAATTTGCCACCTGCTGTGTCAAACAACATTCAGTCACTCACTTTGTTTCTATCAAACAATCACTGACTTAATATAAGATTCTGATTGATTTTTGTTTCAGCGTTTCCCTTGGGGTGACGGTAACCACACCCTGTTCCACAACAAGCACATGAACCCCTTGCCAGATGGATTTGAAGAGTAATGAGTTCCATTATGAGGTCTGTTGAGGCTTATGACTTGACAGCAAGATGGCTGCCTGTGGACGGAGTAGCTTTGTGTTGAAGAGAGTTTTGGAGTTGAACGTCACTACTGTATTTCAATGAAACAAGAAACATATTTATCTTCTGTTGACTAAATACTGTATGAATAGAGATTAAAAGTTGTGTTGAGAAAAATTTCTTTGTTATGTCGAGCAGAATGTCTTCAGTATGTTAACTTTCTGACACCACTGTGTGGGTTTTCCGAGCAGAATGGGTTCCCAACATGGCCAATACCCCTTGCTTATTGGATGGCTGCAGTGGGTGACCTTGCTGATTGTTGCTTCATACATTGAGCTCATGCTTTCAGTCACTGGTTTGCTTGGCCCTTTACCATGCCACTCTGATACAGCTGGTACATTGCAGGCTGTGGCGTAAAATAACATCCACTCTCGTCAGTCAGTACCACATGAATTGAAGCTAGTTTGGTACATGGTAATGGTCATTGTGTTGGCGAAGAAGGCCCAAGATAATTTAGCACTTCAGTGTTGGTGTAGGTAGCCAGGAACCAATGCTGGTCGTATGAGGCGACTTTATGATTTGTTTGTAGGTTTGTTTAATGCCTCAACCAAGTCAGTGAGCCTGACCACCCGACAAGCATAGTTGCCCTTTATGGCAAGCATGGGTTGCTGAAGACCTATTCTACCCCGGATCTGGATCTGTGTAATCTGTCTCGGTGACTTGGCTGATGTGCTGCTCGTGTATGGATCGCTGCTCATGTCAGTCACTGTATTATCTGGTTCAGACTCTATTTTTTTTTTACTGGCTGTCATCATATAGCTGGAAGATTGTCGCCTCTTACGACAAGCATATTCACCTATTAGGGCAAACATTGGTTGCTGAAGTCCTATTCTAAACTGGATCTTCACGTTGGTGATTGGTAAGAAATTAGGGGATTAACATTGGTGAATATTTCACAAAATATCACAACACAGCAGGTGAACGGTATTCACAGACACTGTACTGAGTGAAAACTTTTAAAAGATATATAAATGAGTGAGTGAACATATTTCATATTAGTATGATTTGGCCTATGAAAGAAACCAGTATTCCACAGTGGCAAGTGCGTAGTTTGATTTAGGGTTTATTCCCAATTCTAAGAGGGGTTGGCATTTGGTTTTTGCCAGATGCTAGTTTATGATTAACACCTGACGTCAAACTGCATTCCATTCTTTGGAAATGTTCTCAAGAGGATGTCAAAACACCAATAACATAAAAAATGTCACCAAGCACAATAATATGTCTGAGCAGTGTGTCAACGCCAACAAATCTCGAGAGGTGGCATCCATATCTGTCCATATTCATTGTCATTGCGATCTGGTGGTCAGTCTTGCGTACTTAGTTGATGCCTGTCATCGTATCCCTATTGTGTGGATCGGTGCTCATGATGTCAATCACTGGACTGTCTGGTCCAGACTCAGTTCTTTACAGACTGCCGTCATATAGCTGGACTATTGCTGTGTACGGCGTTAAACGACAAACAAACAAACAAGTAGTTTGATGCCACCGATGAAGAAGGGGCTTGATTCCTGGCTGCGTCATACCAAAAAACGTTAAAGATAGTATTTGTTGTTTCCCTGTCCGGTCCTCGGCATGAAGATGCTAAAACAAGGACTGGTCGGCTCGGAGTAAACTGTGTCTGAGTGGGGTATTCGTGTTAAACTGCGGCATGGTACGAGTCTCAGTTACTATAAATACTATAAAATCGGTATTTGTCCCGACTTGTTTACACATGCACGTCGCTATATAAGACGCTTTGTGCTATAATCTTGAACGCGATTTAAACCCCATTTCATCTTACCTTGGAAATATTAATAGTGAGTTCTATTGTTCCACCTTTTTAAGTGTAAGAAATACACACGCGCTAGCACCAAAAACACAGGCATGAAAGTGATGAGATGTTCTCTGTTGACGTAAACGGATAAAAAAAATGTTTCCGCGCTGTCATCTCCAACAGCCATCCATGCGGACATGGTGTCATCTTTCGGGGATGATGCTCCTTCCCTTGCCACTCTAAAGAGGTGGGCGCCGGATTTCAAAAGGGGAAGAGAGAGCCCAGAAGATCAGACAGGCCTTCAACTGTCAGCACAAAGGGAAATGTTTATCAAATACACGATGATATCTGGATGATCGACGGCTCACCACGTAGACGTTGAGAACACTCTGAAGAATGACATGGGGCCCCGTTCCACAAAGCAATCATAGCGCTACGACAGTCGTAAGTCAATGTTAAAGTATTGGAGTTACGATCGTCTTAGCGCTACAATCGCTTTGTGGAACGGGGCCCTGAGCATGACACAGATTTCATGACGCTGAGTTCCAAGGCTTCTGACTCAACGGTCAAGGCAGTGGAAACATCCAACATCTCCTCCTCTGGAGAAGGCAAAGTATGTTCCATCAGCTGGCAAAGTGATGGCTTCGGCTTTCTGAGATTGCAAAGGGATTCCTACCTCCCACAAGGTCATGCCATTACTAGCCAATATTGTGCTAACCTGCGCAAATAACTGCGTGAGAATATGTATACCTGTGCAAAAGCGTGTTGAAGTCATTTTTGCAATGCATGTGGATATGAATTCATTGAAGAGCTTCCGTGTTCACCAGATTTGACACTGTCAGATTTCTCATCATACTTGAAGAAAGAACTATGTGGAAAGGATTGTGGCAAATGATGATGACGTCATTTCCTTTGTAGAGGACGTTTTAAACCACCAGGAGGAAGTGGACACCAGTAGGTTCTAGGCACTCCACCATCGTCGGCAGAAGTGTGTGGACCTCGGAGAGGATTTTGTTGAAAAATAATTAGCAGCCAACTCAATCTTAATTACTAATAGGCTCAGAACTTTTAAGCCACTCGTCGTTGCTATTACTGTGGGAAGAGGGGGGCACGGGTGGCCCAGTCGTCTAAGGCGCCGCGATTCGCTGTGCAGAGTTGAGTCCCTTTGGCACGCCAGAACCTGATTGTGGGTTCGAATCCCGGTTCACCCCGATTATGTTTCTAGGTTTGTCAGCACCATACCCGTGCTCGTAGGTTTCACCGAAGTGGTAAACGTCTGACACCTGCATCACTTCGGGCTTTCCTCCCACATTGGGCTGACACGCCGTGATATTACTGGAATAATGTTAAAAGCGGAGGTAAACCCAACTCACTCACTCACTCACTTCTGTGGGAAGAGGTACCTAACGGATATTCAAACGGAAACATGACGCGATGATGTCACAACCAAAGGGGGATAAGCAATCAGAGAAAACATGAACACCATGAGATGTATATCTGAACGTTGATAAGTTTTATTTCCTCTTTGTAAATATTTTATAAATACTCAAAACAAGTAACGCCCGTGTTTTCAAACTGATCGTACTTGTCTATTGTCCTCGCCTGTAAAAGCCGGACACAACGAGCTACATATGTGCTAGTGTTGAAAGTATTTAATGAAACATTGACAAAGTGCAAATGACATGATTCAGCTCAAGAACTGAGTTGCAAATATATAAGTGCATGTTGTTTTACACCGCAGTCAGCAACATCCAAGCAATATTACCACTCTGTTCTCTTCCGTCCCTTCATAAAACTAGCAATGATTGCTGCATGGGGACCTATTGTTGGCCAGATTCCAACCGGGTTGCAAGTTTTGTTCGTTTGTTGTTTAACGCCGCACTCAGCAATATTTCAGCCATATGACGGCAGTTTGTAAATAATCGAGTCTGGACCAGATCACAAGCATCGATCTACGCAATTGGGATACGATGATATGCACCGAACAAGTCAGCGAGCCTGACCACCCGATCCCGTTAGTCGCCTCTTACAAGCATAGTCGCCTGTTACAGCAAGTATGGGTTGCTGGAGACCTGTTCTAACCCGGATCTTCACGGGTCAGTTTGCAAGAAAATGATAGCATATATAGTGATATGTTACAATGAATATACTAGACACACACCACAATAGAGAGACAGGACAAGATGTACTGTAAATTGACAATCTTTTAGCATACTTATATAGTTTTTATATTTGACACGCTGTTGAAACAAATATTTTAGCAATGATAGAACATGTTAAATAATCTTCAAACTTGAAGGATCTGTGATAAATATGATAGCTAGCGGCCTCTGGCATGAATTCTTGTGATGGAGAAATATGCCTTTATTAAAGCTTTCCTTGGACAGTTTTCTGAGAAAAGCATGTGACTTAAGGGTCAACACGGGTTGAACAACTACAGTGTTCAAATAACATTGCCAGCCTGTTCAATAAAGTACTGTCTCTCCTTAGTTTACCCCAGGGAGTGACCACACTTAAACATGTCCTAATCTTAAAATACTTCCTCGGCTGGTTCCACCTTTTATTGCCTGATAGTGCAGTTGGCCTACAATGTCGTTAGTTTGAGAGGCATTTCTTTGAAGCTGACGGATGACAAAGTATAGTGTATAATAAAGAAATTGTTATCCACATATTTTTGCAACTAAAAAGTCATGGAAAATACAGGTGAAAACCCAGTTCGCTTGACATGTGAAATGTAAGGTATTTTAAGTTTTCGTCTGAAGGAATTAAGATAGTGCAGATTGCCTACAGTGTAGTTTTCTAGAGCTGTCCGCCTACAAAAGTGCATCTAGAAATAAGCAGTTCTGATATGCTCTACAAAAATAACCCCTCAAAAGTAGTAAATATCTTAGTGTTGCCGACATCCATATAAAGTTAATACCAAAAATGAATTGGTCATTTCAACAAGCGAACGCCATTTTCCAACAAGACAACGCCCGACCTCACACGGCAAGACTCACAACAGTCTTCTCTCAGGAATCACAACATCCAGGTACTGCCATGGCCCACCAGGTCTCCAGACTTGACCCCAGTCGAGCATTTGTGGGATGCACAGGATCAACGACTGCGTTTACGTCAGCAACCACCACAGAACCGCCAAACCACAGTTGGCACAAGCATTGCAGGCAGAGTGGGTGAACATTCCCCAGGCCACAAAATCGGGATCTGATTGCCTCCAAGGTACGACGATGCCAGTCAGTTTTGGACTCTAATTGAGGCCATACCAGATATTGAGAATAGATGACCTTCACTTTGAAAACTGTTCCATGTGTGCCATGTGGAACCTGGGCCAATGACAATGATGTGTGCCAATTTTGAATAATCCATTACCATCACTGGATTATTTATATGATATATAAACTATAATCTAATATCACTTATGTGTTTTGATTTTTGCAGAGTATATATCTTATGAAGACATACGTGGTTCGTTTGACGTTTTATGGATTGATTTGACCGGTCTATGGAGGTGTCCTTAGTGTCCACAGAGAGTATCGGAGTAAAAAACCTGGTTTACTATATTCACCCATAGTGATCGGTAATAACTATGCTATTTCATATCATAGCAGTGGGGTGAGAAATATAAACTAGCTTTATTTCCTCATGCTGTTTTTAAGAATGTTTGCTTTAACGACAGAACAGTGAGTGAGTATGGTTTTACACCGCTTTTAGCAATATTCAAGCAATATCACGGCGGGGGACACCAGAAATGGGCTTAACATATTGGAGCCATATGGGGAATCGAACCCGGGTCTTCGGCGTGACGAGCGAACGCTTTAACCACTAGGCTATCCCACGGCCCCCAATGAGAGATTACAATACATAGTGTTGTAATCGTACTAATGTAAGAATGGTGTCACTGAATTTAATGAAGGGGATCTAATTAAGTCCAATGTATTATTGAAGGCTAAAGTTTATTACTGCCTGATCGGGGGCTGTCGTTGAGCATAGTAGTTAAAGCTTTCGCTCGTCACGTCGAAGACCCCGGTTCGATTCCCAACATGGGTACAATGTGTGAAGCCCATTCCTGGTGTCCCCCGCCATGATGTTGCTGGAAAATGCTAAAAGCGGCGTAAAACCAAACTCACTACCGCCTCATCTTGGTGCAGCCTCCGCATGTTGAAAGTACCAGATCTTTGGCTTAACTGCACATTTGGTCATTGCCATATCACGTGTGCATGCGAGTTACGTGGTCTCACTCAAAGTCTTTATTGGTGAGCCCTCTACCCTTTTTCCTAACTTTTTTAAGTTTTCTTGATAGGTCAGCACGACCATTCTTGACAAGGGCACGCTCCAGGTCCTTGATAAGATCAACACTCTTCTTGGTTGCTTTCATGCTCTGGTACCACCTCAACAAGAGGAGGAACACGGCACTGACATCCTCATCTCTTGCATCCTGCTTGATCTTGGATATTGTGTCAAAGTTCATACCGAGGGTGATGAGGACATTCTGGCAGTCTCGTAAAGTCACGTGCCTTCCCAACACAAGGAAACTCTTTTCGGTCAGAATTTGATGTTCTAGAACAGAAACCCCCAACACATTATCTTAATAAAAGATGAATGATAAGAAGCTACTTTTGGCATGATTGTATACTTTGCTATTGGTGTACATGTTAGGTGTTTGAAACTAGAATGTTTATTAGGTCAACTTATGATCAAACCAGACGCTGTTTGGATGACATTATAACATATTCAGAGCAGCAAATAGAAGAGATTATCATACCTCCATGTCAGAATGATGAGATCTGATCGGTTCACCTGAACTTGATAAAATATTATGTATCCCGCCTTTAAGCCTTAGGGAAATAAATTTCCCAGAGGGGGAATTAATCAGAATTATCTCTTATACCCCGCCACGAGCAAGTCAGGCTGTACTTTGATTTCTGAGAGAGAGAAATGTTTTTTCGCCGCTTTTAGCAATATTCCAGCAATATCACGGCGGTGATACAGCAATCACACATGTGGGGTATCGAACCCGGGGCTTCGGCATGACGAGCGAACGCTTTAACCACTAGGCTACCAAACCGCTCCTACTTGAGAAAGAAGTATTCAGGTTTACCGTGTTCAGGGGCAGACGATGCACCAGTGTCTGACTCAGGCACGGACACACTCCTTGATAGTCTTGATGCAGTGGAACCAGATACTCCCTCATTTGCTTCTGGCACAGTTAATGATTCACTCCTTCTCATTCGTGGTGGTGCATCACTGTGTCTCTCAGATCCTTCAGTATTATAACCAGTATCGCTTGACCCACCGGATGAAGACGTTGTCTCGCTGTCACTAATCCTAGGTGGTTCTTGAGGTGTCCTTGAAGGGGAGTTCTTGGTTTGTTCTGTGGTCGGGACTGACTCAATTCTATATTGGCATAAGTTTTTGATTTCCTTTATGTTATATCCAGGTTCAGGATAGTTGAAGTGGACTTCGTGAACCCGTTGTGCACCAATGGAAACCTCCACAACACTGTAAACAGTTCCAGCTGATGCCTTCTGTGTCCTGAACTGTATGCAGTTATTCCTCAACTGAGATTTGTATGCAAATGTGTACTTAGTTTTCTTTACTTGGTCTGCACTCCTCATATTTCCTGACAGATGCACTCGTATCCTGTCCTTTAGATGTATCGGAAAGTTCCCTGACCTACTTCCAATGATCTCAAAATAGTTCCTTTGCTGCCTGGCTTCAGCTACCTGGTTTGCAGAAGGGGATTCTACAAGCTCAACAGTGAGCCATCTGTCACGGTTCTCTTTTGAGATGTACATTAGAACAGTACACATGTCCATCTTTCTGGCCTGGAACATAGCTGCCTCTCTCAGGGCTGATGAAGCTACGCCTTGCCGAACACAGGCCACTTGGCAACTGAAAGACAATAATAAGTCCTGGAAAAGTGCATCAACTAATTTAACCTGAAGCTATATGGTTGCAATAAAAACAACTTTATATGATTCTATGTGGCTGGTAAAGTGTATGTTAACATCAGTGTCACGTGTATATTATTTTAACGTTAAATATTCATGGCTGTCTGGTACTCAATATGACGAATGAAACATTCAACACTGACATTACATCAAGTAAGTGTTTCATGTTCGTATACCTCACCTTGTAGTATTGTTCACGGTGTGAGTCATCACCGCAAATCCTTTGAAGGAACTCTCTTTCTCAATGTCTCTGATGACGTAATTATTATTTTCAATACTTATGCCTTTTAATTCATAATCCTCTTCTGACAAATCTGCAATTGGTAGCTGGACAGATGTGTCTATTCTGAATACATTTTCCATTTTGTGTCGTACACTCAGAATATCAGACAGAGCATAGATCCCCTCAAATGCTGTTGGGTCATAAGCTCTGTACCATTTCAGTCTGTCTGTGTCCACGGGCTGTACCTGAAAGCGGGTGAAGTTCAACATGGTATATCTGATGTCCACATCAGGGATGTGAATTGGGGCATATAATTATATCTATGGGATTGCAAGGATATATAGGGAAACAACATTGTATTCCCTTTGATATACAAAGGATGTGCGCTTTTCGGTATAAATACTACCCAATCAGCGGTTCTTACACGAATGTAACTGAATACTAAGAATAGCATTTAACTGAATGTGAATATTTAGAATAGCAATAATTACATAAAATATTCGTGATATGACTGAGCTCAATCTGAGGTGAGCGTCAATTGTATTTTTATTTACAACCACCATTATAATTCATTGTCATCCTATCAGCATTTACCTTAACTGAGATAGTCATCTCGGTGTCCACAGCACCTTCTGGGATGTGCACTTTGATGCATTTGTCCTTGGCAGAGACGAATGTAAACGCATTCCTAGAAATTCTCTTAAACTCTGGTATTGGGCGCGCATAGGCAACGAAATACTTTCCACTCTGTACTGGGAATTTCAGAAGATAATCCTGAAAAAAGGATGTCATGAAAAACTGGACATCTGAGGTTTCTAATATCTCAACAAATGTCAATGGTATACACGTTTATCGTACAATGGACTTTGCCCAGCTGAATATTTTGACATCTTACAAAGAAACTGCTGCACCAAATTTGATGCAGAGATGTACAACATAACATTTTCCTTTAAGTTCTTTGTTCCCTCCCTCAACACCGTTTTGATTGTCCTGATATCCGAAACACTGGCTCGAGGTTGCAATTTCTATTTGATTTTGTATTAAGATTTTGAATTATGATTTTGTAATAAGATTTTGAAGTATGATTTTGTATTAAGGTGAGTAGAAATAGGTTTTTAACGTCGTGTTAAAGATTATTGCACTTATTTGGCGACGTGTGTGTGTCCGTGCATATGTGCGTGCGTGCGTGCGTGCGTGCGTGTGTGTGTGTGCATGCTTGTGTGGCTGCCTGTACTAGTGCGGACTGATGCCGGTTTGATAGTGATAACCCTCCAAGATACCATGCCGCAGTTTAACATGGATACCCAACTCAGACACGGTTTACTGGCTCGTAAGAGGCGACTAACGGGATCGGGTGGTCAGGATCGCTGACTTGGTTGATGCATGTCATCGTATCCCATTTGCGTGGATCTATGCTCATGATGTGAATCACTTGATTGTCTGGCCTCGATGATTTACAGACCGCCGTTAGATAACAGGAATATTGCTAAGTGTGGCGTTAAACAGCACACACACACACACACACACACACACACACACACACACACACACACACACACACCAGCCACCCCCCCACCCCCCACCCACCCAAACCCCCCACCCCCCACCCACCCCACCCCCCACCCCACCCACCCCACACACACAAAACTGACTCGGAACCGACCAATCCTTTAAAGGCTAGCAAGCAAGACAGGGTATCCAGTACCATCTGACGTCTTTTCGTGTGACGCGCCCGGGAATCGAACCATCGACCTTTCAGTTCTACGGACAGACGCTCCCTAAGGGATGTCATCAGTATTAGGCTTATACAAAAATTGTAAGAAAAATCATAGTTTTGTACCTCGTACTGTGCCGGCACTGGCGTCCAACCATCATCCCCACATACCATGACGTGGAACCGGAAGAGGACATTAACATCGAGTCTCGTGGTTGGCAATACGAGCGGGATCTGTAGGAACTTTGGATTGCAGTTCAAAGATTTTATTTCCTCGCCTTCCAAGCTGTAAACATCGCTGACCATGGTCTCGTCATGATAGTGTGGAAACAGTGTCAGCATCTCCGTGCGTGATTCAGCTGATAGTGGGACGGCTTGGCACTTGAATTCTGATACGACTTCGGGAACAAGAAGCTTGACACCATTTTGGAGGTCTATAGCTGTCCACTCACTGAAAAATGATATATAACTGTTAAAATATCAGAGACGTCCAGAAACAAGGATCCAGTTCTGTGAATGTTAAAACATGCAACGTTTCAAATTCTCTTGAACTCTGGTATTGGGCGCGTATAGGCAACGAAATAATTTCCACTCTGTACTGGGAATTTCAGGAAATAATCCTGATAAAAGGATGTCAGTAAAAACTGGAAATCTGAGGTTTTCTAATTTCTCACCAAAGATCAATGGTTTCATGAGTGTATTTTGTGATAAACCTGTCGCAAATAACAGCTGACATGTAGTCTTGTCTACAAATATAAAACGTGAATGGATAATCAGTCACGATTATCTGCCCAAACAGATACCATTGAGCGTAATAGGTAAAATAGCGGAGAAAATTATATGAATGGATCACTGAAATTCTGTGATGACACCGGGTGTTCGCGGAAAGGGTAGACCTGTCCTGCTCTACCGATAGCACCCGCAACTGACACAATTTGCATAAGGAGGAGGTTTTTGTTGTTTAATAACACACGATAGTACTCTTGCCATGCGACGGCGCGTAATGTATGGGCACGTGACATATGCATCTAACGCATATCTTGTAAAGAGTATGTTCGATAAAAGTCCCTAATATTACCTGTACTATATGTTTCCTTTGTGTTTTTTTAGGCAAACAATTTGACTTGCCTTCGCGTGTGTTTGTGACGGGTGCCACCCGGGGGGCTTGATACGCTGACCTACGCCTGGTATTATCACTATTGGTTAGTTGTTCATAAATACATGCTCATGATATAGTCGGAATCATACAGTGAACTGCTTTTAGCAGAGAATTCTTACGATTATAGAAAGGTATTTTATCGCTTTTTCTTTAAGGACAGAATATGTCAGTTATAAGGTAACTGAAAATTATATATATTTTTAAAAACGACAAACATACACTGGTTGGACCTCTGCTCTCTCCAAACACTCTTCCTCTTTCCCCCCCTCTTCTTCTTCTTCTTCTTCTTTTTCTTCTTCGCTGGTATATTCCTCAAAACTGTCGTCGTATTGATACTCACTATCATCATCATCAACCTCCCTGTGAAAATGTTAATACGTCCTCTTCAACAGATAATTGAAACACGTAATCATTGTTTATAAACCACATGTTTGCTAAAAACAATAGTTTTAGAACATGAACAAAAAGTGCAAAAGGTGAAATGGGGATTAACGCCGCTTTAAAGATTATTTCACTCATATAGCGAACATGCGCACGCATGCACGTCGGAACCACCGACCTGAACAACAGGAACTGTTACAAGAATTGATAATTACTCTTCATATTTAACAGCGTCTCCTCCAATGTCATCTCTCCAACTGGACCCCAAACTGAAACAAAATGTGAACCGAAATAATTTCTACTACATCAGGTGAGGTGAGGTTAGGGTAGGGTGAGGTGAGGTGAGGTGAAGTGTGGTTGGGTAGGGTGAGGTAGGTTGAGGTGAGGTGAGGTGAGGTGAAATTGGGGTGAGATGAGGTTTGGGTATGGTGAGGTGAGGTGAAGTGAAGTGAGGTTGGGTAGAGTGAGGTGAGGTGAGATTGGGGTAGGGTGAGGTGAGGTGAGGTTAGGTTGAGTTCGGGTGAGGTGAGGTGAAGTGTGGTTGGGTAGGGTGAGGTAGGTTGAGGTGAGGTGAGATGAGGTAAGATTGGGGTAGGGTGAGGTGAGGTTTGGGTAGGGTGAGGTGAGGTGAGGTGAAATGAAGTGTGGTTAGGTAGGGTGAGGTGAGGTTGGGTAGGGTGATGATGGGTAGGGTGAGGTAGGGTGAGGTGAGATTGGGATAGGGTGAGGTTGGCTAGGGTGAGGTGAGGTGAGGTAGGATGAGGTGAGTTGAGGTGAAATGGGATTTAATGTTGCGTTTAAGATTATTGCGCTCATATAGCGACGTGCATGCACGTGTGTGCGTGTGCGTGCGAGTATGTGTGTGTGTGTGCGTGCGAGTATGTGTGTGTGACTGCTTGTATTAGTCCTTACTCATGCTGGTTTCATAGCGTGAGCCATCTGAGATGCCATGCGGCAGTTTAACACTGATACCTAGCCTTATTTATGAACTAAGAGGGCAAACATATCGGGATTCATAAATCATATGTGCCCTAGGGTCATATCACGTCACGAGACAACAGTGTATTGTTTCCGTCATCCGGGCGTCATTGTTGACGTCATTCGAATCCTACTGTGACGTGAGATCGGAATGACGTCACACTAGAAACGACGTCATAGCTGAAGATTGTTGACGTCTTCGACAAATTGTGGTTTCGCTGTTGTTGCGACTTGCTGTCATTATAGGTAAACACTAAAATTCGTCTCTGTATGTAGATATCATTGGTACGTAATAGAACATTATATTCGTGTTCATGTAATACTATTTGTACGACACGAGTGGCCTTGATATAGTATGACATGAACACTCATATAATATCCTCTATGTACGTCTATTAAGGTATGTAGATTATGTATGTAGAGTACCTGCTTTCTCCGGGTATGGTGCTCAACTCACTAGGGGGACAGTTTCGCACTTCTCTCCTGATGCTGTGCATCTCACTTCAGTGCCTTTAAAATGAAGAACGATATTACTCAGTCTTTGTTAGGAAAAACAGGCAAACACACAAGGACAGAAGTAGACCTGGGTCCATAACAAAAGACAAAACTACAGTAAGTATTACTGTCGACGGAAATAGAGTTGTTACTTGTGTTTTGTCAACAACACCTTTATGTTCATCACCACACAAAATGTACTCCAGAGTACCTTTCGAAAATGTATATATTGAACTAATATGTCAACACTGGGTATTCATGGACGAATGTACACTCTTCAAAAAAAGAAACGCACAGGTGAGTTGAGGTGAAATGGGATTTAATGTTGCGTTTAAGATTATTGCACTTATATAGCGACGTACATGCACGTGTGTGTGTGTGTGTGCGTGTGCGTGCGAGTATGTGTGTATGACTGCTTGTATTAGTCCTTACTCATGCTGGTTTCATAGCGTGGGCCATCTGAGATACCATGCCGCAGTTTAACACTGATACCCCGCCTTATTTGTGAACTACGAGGGCAATCATATCGGGGTTCATAAAAATCATATGTGACCTAGGGTCATATCACGTCACGAGACAACAATGTATTGTTTCCGTCATCTGGGCGTCATTGTTGACGTAATTCGAATCATAGTGTGACCTGAGATCGGAATGACGTCACACTAGAAACAACGTCATAGCTGAAGATGTTGTTGCGACTTGCTGTCCTTAATAGTAAACACTAAAATCCGTCTCTGTATGTAGACATCTTCGGTAATAAATCGAACATTATATTCGTGTTCATGTTATTCTATTTGTACGACACGAGTGGCCTTAATATAGTATGACATGAACACTAGCTACCCCTCTTTTTTCAATCCTGGATCCGCACTTGCCGGACACGTGTGAAATAATGTTTTCTGTACTTATAAGAATGTCGAATTAGGACTTTCGTAAAGACTCGGATTCGTGCAATTTCTGAAGCCCATTCCAGGTGTTCCCCGCCGTGATATTGTTGGAATATTGCTAAAAGCGGCGTAAAACCATACTCACTCACTTACTCACTCCAGTCGGATTTATAGGGACTTTCGGCCATCAAATATTCAATAACAACACGGACATTTGAAAACACACACTATTTTCGGACTGTTGGCCCTACTGTCCTCAATCTGACACCACTAAACTGTTTCAAGTGTGTTACTCTGACTCAGTCACGATAAGGCTGAAATATTGCCGATGTGACGACATATTGTCATTCACGCACTGCTATATGACTCACCACTTTTGCGTCCAACAAATGTACATTTCAATGTCTGATCTAGAAAATAACAGAAATTATGTCAACGTTGGCTTGTATACTCAACCTTCGAGTCAATAAATAAAAAAGAACATCGTGACCTAACACTCCACAGACATTTAGATAAATACGCACCAAGTACCATCAGTATTAAAGTTGCACATTCTTGTACCCACTCAACTGGCATATGCTTTGAGTGGGGCACATTTTCAAATCAGAATAGAATATAACCTCTGAGGGAGTTTTCCCACCACTCTGAGTTGACGACTCCCGCAGCGTGTACACGTTTTATTACTATCTCATAAATCAAGCACACCAGCGAATCGATCTTGATTTATCATTGATTGCCATTGATCCCTTGTATATTCGGCAATGTTCAGGCACGGGCTGGTGATTTATTAGAGCAAAGCGTGTGTGACAGACATTCAATGAGGACGTATTCTATAGTGTTATTAATATGTAGTTCTACTGCTTTTACAATATGAACTGATATCTAGTACACCAATTTGCTCACATTTTGTACATATTTCAAATAATCGGGACACAAAAGATCATATCTCTAGGTGGCATAACTCTCATATTTCACCCTGCTACGATCACCTGGTTAGTATAAAAAGTCAATGAGGTTACGCGTGTGTGAGCTTAAACGATATCCCTGAAGAAACCGCTTTGCTGATCATCTGTTGTTTGAGTGACTTAAGCGTTTAACTCAGTCATTCTTTTAAATGCATGTTAACTCTACTTTAACGTTCTGATTATATTTACTTTGAGACGAGATAATGCTAAGTGACGTTCCGTATCAGTGCTAGCATGGTAACCTTTAAATGTGGAATGACGTTCCACTCTTATTCAGACTGTCGACATTCTCGATTAGACTCAAGATCAATATAAATATTTTTCAAAACAAAAAAAGACATTGCGTCCACCATTGCTGTTTGAATTGAACACTCATAATGACAATATTTAGGCAGTGCTTTCATACAGATGTCCCAATGATACAGGCAATAGTTTTAGTGAAAATATTCCATTCGATTTTGTCCACTTTGATATATTTATGCAACTGACGTAGCTAAAGAAATTCCAAATGGTCTTAAAATCAACGTCATCTTCAAATAAATACATTGTTATTTTAATAAGGAATTCAGAATCACATTAAACAAAATATACCCTCCCCGCGTGTCTTTCAACACTCGCCGATATCAGTAGCACACCTTGGGTAGCCACCGGGATGGCTTCTGTGATCGAGTGTTGTCAAGTTTGATAACAAAATACTTGAAACGTACAACTTCTGGATAATAACCACTGATTTCTTGCATATAGTGACGTTTTGAGTAAATTCGCCCACCCTTATATATGGTATATATGCATGATACGTTGTGACAAGAAGCAGATTAACATTGACAACAACAGGTAATAGGTAACAAGTAGCATACAGATAATTGGATGAAGCAAAATGTACCGTGGGATTAGCAAATAGCACACGGGTAGGGAAGCCAGATGAACAGTCAGATTAGCAAATAGCACACAGATAATGTCACTCTCGAAACGTCGCTAAATGCAATAAACCAGAAGTCGTTATCCATAAAGCTGTACGTTTTCTTACTTTACTCCCAACTTCTAGATTGCCAATCCAATCAAACAGTTAACAAAATACTTAAATATGATTATGTGTATGTTAAAAAAATAATTTGCTCCTGACATTATCTGGTTAGTTTTTCTACACGCCGAGTTAAGTTGTTTTTGTTATGACGTTGCTTGGCACCTAATGTGTCGACAGACAGGAGTTTGTTGTCATGCTGGGCCTACGAAGCCAAGTTTATGACCCAACATATCCGCTGTCAGTTGGCCGACCCTATTGACATTGGCAATGTCGTGAGTTCAACACACAACTCACAATGTCAAGTTACAAGTTCTGATGGTTCCAAATGATCTTACGAGACAAGGCTACTTTTCTAGAAATAACCGATTAAGAATTCAAGGGATAATAGTGTAACACATATGTCTATAACACGTGTGTGCACATTCATAACTTAGAACGGAGACACTCAATCAGAGCGGTAACCCAACACGTCCATCAGACCGAACACACAGGCCGGTATTAATACTCCCGCCGGTATCAATACCGCTGCCTGTAAATGTATGTTAATTCAACATCGGTACATCAATCAACTGGACTGTTACTTGGAAATATGGACTATTTACTCAGATGAGGTATCAAAACGTAAAAAATATATTATTGTAACTTGTTTGAATATACACCAAGGTAAGAACATATTCACATCTTACCTAGAGACAGGCTTGTCTATATCGACGAGATCTTGTGTATCGACGAGATCACCGTAGACGTCAAGGTCAGAATGCTTCATGGTTGACAGTGTCACGTGACAGACACCCGAACTGGTAGAAGAATAATAGAGCTGTCTGGGTTATTTGAACTTATGAGGTGAGGTGAAATTGGGTTTAACGTCGCGTCCAAGATTATTGCACTTATATAGCGACGTGCATGCACGTGTATGTGTGTGTGTGGCTGCTTGTACTAGTCCGGACTGATGCCGATTTATAGTGCTAGCTCACTGAGATACCATGCCGCAGTTTAACATGAATACCCCACTCAGACACAGTATACTGACTCCGAGCCGACCAGTCCTTGTTTTAGCCCCTTAATGCCGAGCGCCAGACAGGGTAACAACAAGTACAATCTTTTAACGTCTTTTTGTATGACGCGGCCCGGGATCGAACCCTGGACCTTCCGCTCTCCGGGCGGACGCTCTACCACAAGACCACGGAGGCGGTCTGAACTTATGAAGGAGGTCAAGAACGTTGAGAGGAATGTTGTGTAGTTGTTCATGTGTCTGGCAAAGGCGTTGTTGTGACGGGGATGAGCCACTGCACAGCTGGAATATTACTGAATGCGATGCCACATGGCGAGGTAAAGCAATGAACGAGAAAATGATATAGATCATGCATGAAGACGGGTATACGTGTGTGCCAGAGTGAGTATGAACTTAAAGACAGATTGTGGGCCACGACCTGATGGTCATTTCCAACCCTAGACGCCGAAGACACTGTAATTAATGCCGTGTGAATCGGAGAATATGCCTCTGTGAAGTAGTCTCACCCCATTTGTCAGATACCCCATTTGTCAGATACCCCATTTGTCAGATACCTTTGTCACAAATGCCACGGGGGCGGTCGGGTAGCCTAGTGGTTCAAGCGTTCGCTCGTCACGCCAAAGACCCGGGTTCGATTCCCGACATGGGTACAATGTGTGAAGCCCATTTCTGGTGTCCCCCGCCGTGATATGGCTGGAATATTGCTAAAAGCGGCGTAAAACCATACTCACTCACTCACTCACATATGCCACGGTTGAGTTCTCCAACTATCCAATGCTTGTTACCAAATGGATTAGTCCCTATCATATTCTATTCGTCAGACACCTCATGAGAATATAGTGAGTGAGTGAGTTGGGTTTAACGCCGCTTTTAACAGTATTCCAGTTATATCACGGCGTGTCAGCTTACTGTGGGAGGAAAGCCCAAAGTGATGCAGGTCTCGGACGTTTACCAGTTCGGTGAAACCCACGAGCACCGGTATGGTTTTGACAAACGTATAAACATAATCGGGGCGAACCGGGGTTCGAGCCCACAAACAAAGGTTTCTGGCGTGCTCAAGGGACGCAACTCTTCACAGCGAATGGCGGCGCCTTAGACGACTGGGCCACCCTTGCCCCCTCATGAGAATATAAGACTTATAAAACGTAATATATAGTGCGTCTTAATCCCCAGTGAACACATAATCTCATAATCGGGTTATTTAGCAGAAAATGGTAAAATATTGTAACTAACTAACAAACATGCTATTCTCTTGTCTTTTTTATGAAATCAATTTTCTCTTCTGTGTTTCAACATTACCAGTGGGGTATATTAAATAATAAAAAGACATTTTTACCCCCCGCAGCGAAGTGAAAGGGGCATATAGGAATGGGTGTTATCCGTGCGACCTTCGCGTTTCGTTTCCGGAGTCGTTTGATATTTCATTGTGAAACTTTGCATATGCATCAACACACATGCTGTACTGGTGCCATTTGATGTTTGGTATTTCTAATATATATATTGTGTTTCCTTGGCAACAAACTGGACTTAAACTCAAATACCCGTAGCATTCGTTTCCAGCGCATAACTCGGAAACTGCTAAATATTTTATAAGGAAACTTTGCATATGTATCAAACACATGCTGAACTGGTGCCTTTTGCTGTTTCCTTGGCAACAGGTTGGATTTAACCCAAATACAGGTAACTTTCATTACCAGAGCGTAACTTAAACACCGGAAGGGTTGTGGTGTTCATTTCTGGATCAAATATCAATAATCATGTTCAAATATTATCCATGAAACTTTATAGTATTATCCAGGATACTGACGTTGTCATGCTATATTTGATTTTCCAGAATAAGATCTGTGGTAATGGCATTTAAACTTGATTTCTTAACCTCTTCCCAATTTTTTTTATAAATTAATATCGTGCAAACCTCGCTAAATATTTTTTTATAAACGTTAATTAACATATGTTACAATAATCTTCCGAAAAGAAACACATGTGATGAAAGCAGGTGTCAATATTGCCATGTTTGCGAGAATAACCCAATCTTGTCATTGCTGTGGAGATGATACCTGGGGTCCACCTCTCTGCAATGTCACAACGTTAACCCTCTGCAAACCTGCCACGATCAAATTGTTCATTAGATTAATCAATACGGGTAGAAAATAAAACAATATGTAATCCTATTGTACCAACTATTTAAATCAGTAGATCACATATATTACACATCACCTTCTAACGTCTTTATTTTAAATCTTAATTACACAGAGGATTAGTCTATGAGGGTACTTTGCAAGCTGTACAGAGTGCATAATGCCAATCATGAATCTCTGGCTATCTGCCAGAGAAGTATTAGACTTCATGTTCATTGTTCTTAAATTATTCAAGTACTGCCTATTCAAAGAATCAATTCCCATAGGTATGTGTATATTGTCGGCCTGCTTTGTTATCTTACCTTGCATGGTCACTTCTTTCCCATGTACATTGCTGACAGATAAGGTACAACTTGCATATGCCCCGCTGGGAATTGCCGAAGTCTTTAGTTACCAATACGAATACAATGATATGATTAGGTTGTCTCGAATCTGAAAACCTATCAAAAGCAGTTTAGCGAAATTAACAGTGCATGTCCAATTGTAATAAAAGGGCGACAATTCTGGACGCGATTACGTCGTCTTCAAGCTGTCAAAATGCTCATCATAAGCTCAGGACAGAAAATTCAAAAACGCACAGACACAGACACACACACACACACACACACACACACACACACACACACGGCATTAGTCAGAGCTAGTACAAGCTGCCACGCACAGACACAGAGACACACACACGAACACACACACACACACACACACACACACACACACGGCATTAGTCAGAGCTAGTACAAGCAGCCACGCACAGACACAGAGACACACACACACACACACACACACTGAAAATTCTACAATATTACTATGAAGAATGAGGGCAAAATGGCGAGATCTTACATTCCCGATTGACTCCATGCCCACATAAACAATAAAGGTACGGTTGTTTTCTCCTGTACCCTAACACAAGCTTTAACATTTTCAAAAATATTCATAACAAAGCAAAATGTTTTTTCTCTAACATTTCCTACCATTTTCTTATGCATTTTTTTAGTAACAAAATGCTGATTTACAGTCAATAGTCTAGAAATTCCACAGTATAATCTACCCTTATGGAGACCTATATATTTATTTATAATTTCAGACAAAACAGGCGGATAAGCTATATATTTATTTATAATTTTGTTAAGAATGAAAATATTATCCACAGGTTGAAATCCATGCGTACAGACTGCTTGTTCTTTTACCAATTTTCATCTTTAACAACAGCCCATAAAGTAAGTCTGTTACATACTACTTTTTAAGACTTCTTTCTCGGCACTGCTAATGAGGTAACAGGTCTGAAATGTGATGGATCATTTACAGTTCCCTTCTTGTAGATCGGAACTATCACTCAGGTATATGATTATACAAAGAATACAACATGTCAATAAAAAAATGTGAAGCGTGGTTAAAAAAACTACAGAAACACTGCTTTAACCTGGAGCCTGTTGACAGCATGTGACACTCCCATCAACTCCTAATTTCTTTTGTCTGGTAAATATTGGTTGTTTTATTGCTCAAGTTATGAAAAGAATTCAATAAACGTTCTAAATGTTGCTTAACAATCATCACAATCTTGCGACTGTCATGTTCCCTTAAGGTAAATCCTAAAATGTTCTGTCCACTCATTAGAAGAAATCGTATTCTTTACATATACAAAATCTGAAGCTTACATGTTTTCAAAAGGATTTACTAACATTTTTATTGAGGATAGAATCTAAATTTCTACAGATACCCTTTGTACTTGAGACAATTCAAAAACACACAATGCTTTGTAATACTTCCATGCTGAAGTATAACATTTCTGTCAGCATCTTTTTTCGAAGCATGGAACTTCTGACTTCAGTGCATGCATGGATACATTGATGACAGGCACAATTTACATAAAAAGGCTTATATTTCTAAATACAGCCTGGCTACAACCAATATCCATTGCTTTCAAATGATTAGATTACATATTTTTCTTCTAATCGTCCCAGGTGTACATGTATGTTGGTCTATGGGGGTTGCAATCCCCATTCGAGTGCTTACACACTGTCTGACCTGGCTAGGTTCAGTTTGTAAACATCTGGCATGAGGGGTAGACTCGACCTCACTCTTTATTTCAAAATTATTAAACAAATACAATGTAGTTTCTACACAGTACATAGTCCACATCGCTTTGTCCATTACCAGTATTACCTACATACATGTTTTTTTCCCAATATTTTTTTTTATCAGCGAATAACCGGCCATAACAAACCCTTAGGCCATTTGGTTTACATACATGTAGAATCATGTATCCATGTGAATTAACAATATTGTCATGTGATGTTCGCAGTGTTTCACCATCTTCTGTATTGTTTAGGTCTTCCTCCAGGGGTAGGTATGTAGGATCATCGTTTGCTATGTAATTTTTCAAATGTGCCGTGAGTCCATTCGGATCCTTAAATAACAATATGGCATCCTAGATATTTCGACCTTAATCGCAAAATATGTTCCTGGTTGTCTTCGTGAGTAACGAATTCCGCAGGGTTTGTCACATTCATATACATCTCGATCACTGTTCGAATGATTCTCCGACCGCTTCATCCACATTGTAAAATAACAAGTTGTTGCGTCAGTTTTTACATTCTAAATCATCAAATTTAGACTCGAGTCTCTCAATAGCTTTCTTCGTCTGTGTATTTTCTTTTGCTGACCAAATCACATCTTTTTCTCTTATTATCAATCTTGCTTGTCAGTCGCTCACTTTTTTGTTCACTTCAACTCTCATCTCTCTAATTTCGTTAAATATTTTCGTTAACCCCAGTTCCCTATCGAGTGTTGTATGTTAAGTTTTTGGAGGGCCGGAATTTGTCTCCACTGATATCATTGCTGATTCAGAGAACCAAGATACAGTTACAGCCGTAGCGCCGGTTGCACCTTTCCTTGTAGAGTTGTATTTTCTGGGAAGCTTTCCGTTACCCTTCCTGACACATGGATTTGATAAACGCGGCTTGAAAACTTCCACTACGACATCTGTATGCACTAATATTGCAGCCCATAGTTTCTATGTTTCATTCGCATTGTTCTGCTACCACAATAGTCTGTCGTCTTTAGCAATAACTTGCCTTAATTTCGTTTTTCCCAAGGATCAATTTCCAAGAGGACCAGCCACTGTCACTGGAAGGTGGTTCCCCTCTTCTGGTTTCAGTACAGGGAAGGGTCGGGTAGCCTGGTGGTTAAAGCGTTTGCTCGTCACGCCGAAGACCCGGGTTCGATTCCCGACATGGGTACAATGTGTGAAGCCTATTTCTGGTGTCCCCCGCCGTGATATTGCTGGAATATTGCTAACGGTGGCGTAAAACCATACTCACTCACTCATTCTCAGTCCATAAGTTGAAAGTACCACATTCTTTGCTTAACTGTATGTTGTGTTTTGTCGTCATGTCATATTTAAGATCATCATTTGCTACGTAATGTTTCAAATGTAAGTGGACACGAGGTAAGTGGTGTCAGGCAAAGTCTTCGTTAGTAAATCCTCTTTCCTCATCCCTAACATTTTCAATTCTTGTAGATAGGTCTGTTCGACCAGCCGATTTAAAGGCAGCCTCCAGGTCCTTGATAAGATCAACACTATCCTTAGTTGTTTTCATGCGCTGGTACCACCTCAAAAGGATGAGGAACACCTCGTTGACATCGTCATCCTTTGCATCCTGCTTGATCTTGTTTATTGTGTCAAGGTTCATGCCGAGAGTGATAAGGGCTTCCTGGCAGACACTCAAGGGGACGTTCCTTGCCAGCACGAGGAGACTCCTTTGTGTAAGAACTGGATGTTCTAGAACAGACAAATATGTTACCTTTAACATATGATGCATGATAAGTTTCAACTTTTCAGCATGGAGGAATTTATTTTGATGACCATGCTATTTCTCTTAAGCTTAAATGTTTGTGAGGTTAATTTATGATCAAATAATACATCATTGATGTTCAACATGAGAGAGAGAGAGAGAGAGAGAGAGAGAGAGAGAGAGAGAGAGAGAGAGAGAGAGAGAGAGAGAGAGAGAGAGAGAGAGAGCTCTTATCTAATATTATACATAACCATTTGACAGCTAGACTGTGTATACATGTAACAAATTTAACCATACTTAGAAAGGTATTTATGGATTTAGGTATGTAACTGACCAATTCAACAATTAAAAAACAATTTGCTACATAATCCTGGTGTACACAATCAACTCTAACTCGTATCCTGTATATTGTACTTAAGTGGTTTCTATAAACATAATGTGGACTTTTTCCTTTGTATAGTAGTTTTTTCCTTTCTCTTCACGTATCCAATAAGAGTGAGTGAGTGAGTTTGGTTTTACGCCCCATCAGCAATATCCCAGCTATGTAGCGGCGGGGGACTCTGGCCATGGACTTTACACATTGTGCACGTCCCATAAGAAATAGTCATGTGTGGTAGTTAAACCTATCTGCAATTAATTGCTGTTAATTTAAAATAATTTGATATGACGTTTATGTTTGTCTTTTCTATCCCTGGTCTGAAATATATTCGGAAATATAGCTGATGATATATAGGTATAGGTAAGGAGAAAATCATATAATTCTAGTTAAAATGAATCAGCTTATGTGCATTTGGAAAAAAGACAAACGTGTACTGAAGTATGTACGGGAGAAGAAGGTTGGTTGGTTGGTTGGTTGTTTAACGCTGCACTCAGCAATATTCCAGCTACATGACGGCAGCCTATAAATAATCGAATCTGGACCAGAAAATTCAGTGATTGATATTATGAGCATCGATCCGTGCAATAGGGATACGATGACATGCATCCACTAAGCCAGCGAGCCTGACCACCAATCCCGTTACTCGCCACTTACCACAAGCATATCCTGTCGAAGGCCTATTTTGACCCGGATCCTCAAGGGAACAATACATCGGAACACCTCTCATGGAACGTCGCGCCTTTCAGATCATAACAATGCCAAGACAAACCATGGAGGCTGGAGAAAACGTTCTCACGACCTGCGTGAATGATCATGTCAATTCAGATTCAAGTGTATTATGACTGGCTAAATGTTTCAAGTTCTAATGCAACCAGGTCAGTAGGACTTCTATTCACATATTTTTCATGGACGGAGAAGAAAAGGTTAGGGGTTGTTTGGAAACACTTCATTTAACACACCCTAGTTGCTTGTGATCACCGTGACGTCTTTACTCTTGGAATGTAACCGTCTCAATAGAAAATCAAAGTTTCTTTCCTCTATTGGCACCAAATCAAGGTATAGTCGACCGGATTCTTCAGGGAATGTGCGTTTGAGACCTACATATTTGAATGCGTTATTCACGCAAAATTGTCTGTCGCCAAATACATAATTACATGCCACGCCGATAACAACCCACACACTTCAGTACTCTCTACATAGACAACACAGCCATATACGATTTGACTTTTGTGGATGGGATTAATTTTATAGACTGAAAGATTTTTTCTATTGTTTTCGTTGCTTGTTGTTATTTTCTTAGTATCTTCTTAATACACATTTTTAGTAAGTATCTGCAGTTGGTATGTCATTGACACGGGGAAACTGTTACTTGTTGTTCCAACATATAATATGTATGTAATGGAGAAGTTGAGGAAGCAGTTCAGACGTACCAGTCATCAACACATTATCTGTATGTCACAGTCAGAGGATCTTGAACCAGTGCAAGGTCGTGAGGGCTGGTGTAATATGCTCGGATCTAATACAGTGAACTACGTTTATAAAGAACACGCTTATAACGAACTTACCGATATAACGAACTTATTTTTTAGTCCCGGCAATTTGTTGTATATATGCTGTATATATGCTTATAACGAACTACGGTTATTACGAACTAAACTTAGTGGTCCCTTTGAGTTCGTTATAACCGTAGTTTACTGAAGTGTTATGTAAGGAGCAAAATTGTCAGACAATACACGAACACTTGTCACGTAAGGAAGAACAAATCCCTGAACGGCACACAATTCAGTAGCCTTAGATGCCTATTACATCTGAGCACTGGGTGAGCGGTCATCTAAAATCTGCACCTGTAATCTAACGCTATAAAGACGCCTATCAATGAGGGGACCCTGCCCCCACCGAAACCCTGGAGCTGAAAACCCAGTCTTGTCATACATGACTCCGACCCCGACAATTAGCAAAACCAAAGCGCGAAGAAATGCTCCCGCCCAAAACACGGTATGCAAGCCTACAAGTTTTTAGCCGGTACCTTGACTAATGCTATACACCCACCCGCACCAGGTAGACAGGGGGCAGATAAGGACACATCCACAGTAACACTCTCTGACCAACCATCAGTTAGCAGCATCCAAGCTAAGAAATGCAGGGGAGTACTACATTTTACCCTGGCGCACTTTTTTAAATTTCATTTCGCGACGCGTGGAGGATCGAACTCGCCTAAGTCGAGTTCGCCCATACTCTCACAACTTACCCCAAAGATCGTGAAGGGATACCTAACCAAGGATCGCAAATGGGTGTTTCATTGGCAAAGGGATGACAAAAACCAAAGGATCGTAAAGGGGAGTATAATCGGAAATGGGTACCTAACCCCTATGATCGTAAAGGGCATCCAATGGGCACTAAGTCTGCTCCTGTTCTTGCTGATCTGTTTCTTTATGCATGAATCAGAATTTTTACTCAAATTGGCAAAATAAAACAAAGTGAATTTGGCCAAGAAGTAACTTTAGCTTCAGGTAGATGAATGATCTGGTATCGTTCTATAACAGTAAAATAGCCAACCCCCTTTGACTGACTTATCCACCTGCACTAGAAATATAGGCCATCAGTCTCGTCTCTTTCCCATTTAGATATGTGCATAAAATTTCAAAAATGTAATCTATAACTGGTATCTGAAGGTTCACAATGGCTTGCAGTTGGACGTTATCTGTCATTTGCAAACAAATCGACATAGCCAGCATATATAAGAATAACTTGTTTGATAGGCATTACTTAGAAGTTGGCGGATGACAAGATAGACACAATTTTATGGATAACAACTTCTTTAATACTGTAAAAAAAGCCATAAAATTGTGTCTATCTTGATATATAAGAATGCTACGAGAGAGAGAGAGAGAGAGAGAGAGAGAGAGAGAGAGAGAGAGAGAGAGAGAGAGAGAGAGAGAGCAGGAATTGGCTTCACACATTGTACCAACGTGGGCCATCGAACCCGGGCCTTCGGCGTGGCTAGCGAACGCTTTAACACCCGCCTCCCCACCCCTTGTCTACCCCACCGCCACTACTTGAGAGAGAGGTATTCAATTTTACCGTATTCAGGGGCGGAAGATACAACAGTCTCTTCAGCCCACGCGCTGGTAGGTCGATTGCGAGACACACTCCTTGATAGTCTTGATGTAGTGGAACCAGATTCCCCCTCATTTGTTGCTGGACATGCACCCGAGTCATCACTTGATGCATTTAATGATTCACTCCTTCTCATTCGTGATGATGCATCACTGTGTCTCTCAGATCCTTCAGTATTATAACCAGTGTCGTTTGTGCTACCGGATGAAGACGCTGTCTCGCTGTCAGGAATCGGAGGTGGTTCTTGAGCAGGTGGTGTCCTTGTAGGGGGGTATTGGGTTTGTTCTGTTGTTGCTCCATGTCGCCATAAAATATTCATTTCCTTTAGTTTGTATCCTTTATCGGGATAGTTGAAGTGGACTTCAAGAACCCGTTGTGCTCCAATGGAAACCTCCACAACACTGTACGTAGTTCCAGTTGATACCTTCTGAGTCCTGAACTGTATGCAGTTATTCCTCAACTGATTTTTGTACTCAAATGTGTACTTAGTTTTCTTTATTTGTTCTGCACTCCTCATGTTTCCTGACAGATGCACTCGTATCCTGTCCATCAGATGTACCGGAACGTTCCCTGACCTACTTCCAATGATCTCAAAATAGTTCCTTTGTTGCCTGGCTTCAGCTGCCTGGTTTGCAGAAGGGGATTCTACAAGCTCAACAGTGAGCCATCTGTCACGGTTCTCTTTTGAGATGTACATCAGAACAGTACACATGTCCATCTTTCTCGCCTGGAACAGAGCTGCCTCTCTCAGGGCTGATGAAGCTACGCCTTGACGAACACAGGCCACTTGGCAACTGAAAGACAATATTAAGTCCTGCAAATGTGCATCAAGTAATTTAACCTGAAGCTATATGGGTGCAATAAAAGCTCATAATTAATGTCGTTCTATGTGGCTGATGAAGTGTATGTGTATGTCATTTCAGCGTTTAGTACTCATGGCTGTCTGATACTCAATGTGACGAATGAAACATTCAACACGGACGTAACAATCAATTATGTGTTGTTTAATGTTCGTATACCTCACCTTGTATCATTGTTCACGGTGTGAGGCATCACAGCAACTCCTTTGAAGGAACTCTCTTTCTCAATGTCTCTGATGACGTAATTATTATTTTCAATACTTATGCCTTTTAATTCATAATCCTCTTCTGAAAAATCTGCAATTGGTAGCTGGACAGATGTGTCTATTCTGAATACATTTTCCATTTTGTGTCGTACACTCAGAATATCAGACAGAGCATAGATCCCTTCAAATGCTGTTGGGTCATAAGCTCTGTACCATTTCAATCTGTCTGTGTCCACGGGCTGTACCTGAAAGATGGTAATGTTCCTATATAATATGTGCATATATGTTGTCTTCTTGATAAGGATGTGAGTTGTGGCATATGTATCTATGGGATTGCAGTGATATGTTGGGAAATAATGAGTCCTGGAATTTTATCGAAAAAGATAAATTGTCCCTGAAAATGCTTAAATATATCTTCGCTTCAGACTGTTGAAAAAAGAACATGTCTGACACAAAAAAATACATGTTTAAAAACGTCTGGTTTTGCACCTGCAGCTGAAAAAGTATGTAGCCGCCATACAAAATGTCAGCCACCCACAACCCCCTACCCGCCACAATGGAATATCAACTGGTTGGTCCCTTACCAGAAAGAGTAAATATTTAGAACATCAATTATATGGTTATGCTTGCATAACTGATTCTCGATAAATAAGTTCCGGTCATTATTGAGCTCAATCTCATGAGAAGGTCAATTGCTTTTTCATTTAAAATCACAACAATAATTTATTGTCATCATATCAACATCTACCTTAACCGCAATGGTCATCTCGGTGTCCACAGCACCTTTGGGAATGTGCACTTTGATGCATTTGTCCTTGTTAGAGACGAAGGTAAAAGCATTCCCAGAAATTCTCTTGAACTCTGGAATTGGGCGCGCATAAGCAACGAAATACTCTCCACACTTTACTCGGAATTTCAGAAGATTATCCTGAAAAGAAAGGAAATGTAAAAGGGGTATCTGTGTCCATTAAAGTACACTAATATCAAATCATTCGTGCATTATCGTACAATTTCTGTTTTTGACTACTTGCATAGAAACTGCTGCCCCAATTCTTATGCAGCGATGTAAAACATAGCATTTTGCTAAAAGCTTTTTGTTTGCTCAGTTTTAGTTGTGTTGATTACAAGTAATCCTCTCGATCAACCATCTTTTAACGTCGGTTGGTATGACGTGGTCGGGGATCGAACCATCACCATATGGGAGGCGGTGTATCAGAAAATTAAACTGTAAGGAAACATAGTTTTGTACCTCGTACTGTGCCGGCACTGATGTCCAAACACCATCCCCATATACCATGACGTGGAACCGGAAGAGGACATTAACATCGAGTCTCGTGGTTGGCAATACGAGCGGGATCTGTAGGAACTTTGGATTGCAGTTCAAAGATTTTATTTCCTGGCCTTCCAATCTGTAAACATCGCTGACCATGGTCTCGTCATGATAGTGTGGAAACTGCATCAGAATCTCCGTGCGTCTCTCAGCTGATAGTGGGACGGCTTGGCACTTGAATTCTGATACGACTTCGGGTACAAGAAGCTTGACACCGTTTTGGAGGTCTATAGCTGTCCACTCACTGAAAAATACATGTTACTGTTACAAATAACAGAGACTTCAACAAACCAGTTTTGTGAATGTGAAACATACACACATTTTATATATGTTTTTTAATATAATGTTACGCTAACATAACGTAATGATAAACTATCAACAAACAAGGATATACTTTGGTGGATGTTAAAACAAACAAACGTTTTACAAGTGTATTTTATAAATAGTTTTACGCTAACATTTATGGCTAAACCCGTCTCGAATAACATGAGGTCTTGTCTACAAATACATAACGTCAACGTCAGAGTATAATCAGTCACGATTTTCTGCCCAACCAGATTCCATTGGGGGTAATAGGAAAAATAGTTGTGAAGATAATATGAATGGATCACTGAAAATCAGTGACACCAGGTGTTCGCGAAGAGGATAACCATGTCCTGCCCTACCGGTGGCATCCACCCCTAACATAATTTGCAAACAGTAAGTGTTTGGAGCTTAACGTCACACAGTACTCCTGTCATGCGACGGCGTATGGACATATGACATATGATTTTGACGCATCAGTGACAAGAATGATGTCTGGCACAAGTCCCTATTATGACTTGTTCCCGTGTTGTCTTTCAAGTGAACAATTGACTTGCCATCGCGTGTGTTTGTGACGGATGCAACCAGTGGGGCAGGATACGCCCGCCTTTTTGCGAACACCTGGTATCATCACTATTTGACTGTGTAGTCTGAATCGTAGAATGGACCCTGCTTTCTTCTGAGGGATTTGTCGCTTTTATTTATAGACGGAAAATTTCAGTTAAGTGAAAACAATCCACCCCGTGTGAGACAGATTGAACGAAAACAAAAAACATACACTGGTTGCCTCTCTTCTTCATCCTTTTCTTCTTCCTCGCTGATATATTCCTCAAAACTGTCTTCGTATTCATACTCATCCTCAACCTCCCTGTCAAAAATGTTAAATCGCCACTTCAACATGATTGTTCAATAGCTGATCACGATTTCCCCTTACACGTTAGACAATTAAAATTGCAAGAATGTATGAATAAAACTAGAATTGGATTGATACACGTAATCAATGTTTATAAATCACATGTTTACCGACAACACAAGTTATAGCGCCCAAGCAAAAAGTGGGGAGGTGATAATGGGTTTAACGTCACGTCAAAGATTTTTCACTCATATAGCGGACGTGCCTTGTATACAGGTGTGTATGGCTGCTTGTACTAGTCGGGAGTTATAACCTCTCAAACACATTATACTGACGTGCCAGTTAGGCGTGGTTTCCCCTTAATACCGAGCACACGGAACACAGGAACCATCCTTTAATGTCTTTTGTTATGAAGTGGCCAGGGGATCGACCCACCGACCTAAACATTAAGTTTTACTTGGATTTATAATTACTCTTCATATTCCACATCTTCTCCCCCCGTCTCCTCTCTCCAACTGGACACCCAACTGAAACAAAATGCGAACCAAAAATAATTCCTGCTAATGTGCATTGAGGTGAGGTGAAATGGGGCTTAACGTTGTGGGGCGACGTACATGCTTGTAGTAGAGCGGACTATGTCTGTTTATAAGGGTTAACACAGGGATATACCATGCCGCAGTTTCACATGAATACCCCACTCAGAGTAAACTGACTCCGAGCCGACCAGTCCTTGTTTTAGCCGTTTCATGCCGAGCACAAGGCAGGTTGACAACAAGTGCCATCTTTTTACGTCTTTTGGCTGGGGAACGAACCACCGACCTTCCGCTCTCCAGACAGATGCTCAATGTCCAATGACAAGGTGTACTTATTATCACATCGGGGTTATTTCTGAAACGTCTCATTATCACTATGTTTAAGGCTCATCCTAAACATGCCAATTTATTTATGTCTATTAAGGTATGTAGATTATGTATGTAGAGTACCTGCTTTCACTGGGTATGGTGCTCAACTCACTAGGGGGACGGTTTCGCACTTCTCTCCTGATGCTGTGCATCGCACTTCAGTGCCTGAAAATGAAGAACTATATTACTCAGTCTTTGTTAGGAATAACAGGCTAACACACAGCAAGGAATGAATAAAACAACAGATGGACAGTAAGTACCTATATCGACGGAGAAATAGTTGCTTGAGTTATGTCAACAGCATTTTTATAATCGTTACCAAACACAGTGTACTCCAGAATAACTTTCGAAATATACTAACGGAAAAATACTGCGCTTCATGTAAAGTGATGTAAATTTAGAAAATGACAAAATTAAATTTGGTCATTCGTGTGATCAATGTTTCATCTTAACAAATTCATTGACAAAACTATACCTAGTGACAAAAGACAGAGCGACACGCCCTAAAAGAGGAGTGGTGTATTCTATTCTATTAACAATTTCAATATCTGGTATGACTACCATTTACATTGATATAGGCGAGGCAGCGGCGGTACTTGAATGCACCAAACGATTGAAAACAGCTTTGGAGATGTTGTTCCAAATGTCAACCAAAGATTGGCCCAACTGAGCTGGCGTTACCGGCTGGTTCAGGTCCTGTCGTAGGCGTCGACTTATCTCATCCCAGACATGTTCTATGGGGGAAACATGGCAGCAATGTGATGTGTATTTTACAACACATGCAACGGCCGGGCGAACATGATCTTGAACGTCCCGGTAGCGTACGCCATTCAAATTGCCTTATGTTTGCCAAATTGTTTTATGTGCTTCTAAAAGCAAACATTGTGTGCTGTTCACATTTAAAATACACATGTGTGAGTATCATGCTCCCAACAATATGTATTGAATGATGCTTGAATGTATTTGAATTTCATCATAAATAAATTTTTATTGAACATATTTCCATTTTTGCGTGAGATTATGTAACGATTGAAATATATGTCAACCCTGAATATTCATGGACCACTATATGTTTCGGGAAACTTCCAGTATTTCCAAGCACTACACTGTAACATACCCAGTGGAGGGTCACTATGCATAATTCCCAAACACATTCCACAAAATCAGGTCGGGCTGATAACGAGTTGTTAAACTAAATTTGAAACCCGGAAATAATAGTATTTAAAAAGAACGAGCAAAATGAGATATTTATCGTAATCTGGTATGTAACGTGAATGTTGTATTTAAATACAGTCATCGCCGGTTCTAGCCATCTCCAACTTATTAACTTTAACAGTCAACCATGTGTAAGCTTAACAACACCAGAATTAGACGGGATACTTTCATTGTGTACTGATGGTTTCTGTTGAAACAGGTGAAGTCATGCATTGTCCAAGCGGACGTATCTGATCTCTCATAGCCCTTGAAGTCCACAGAACGTTACCGAAGACGTTTATACTAATGTTGTCTGAACAGTTAACAATGTCGAAGTAGAAACCACAAGCAAAAGCAGCCGGAAACTTCTGGCTTTTACAACAGGGTTGACATGGGTTTCAGGCCGTCAAATAATCATACACATTTGAATATATATAGAATGTACGTGGTGCTGGCCCAACTGTTTTTATCTTCGCTACAAATAAATGAAATAGAACATGGTGACCTGTAGGACTGCACGTACATTAAAACGACCAACGATTACAATTAGTGTTCACGAAGTACTTCCTGGTACTCACTCTACTGACATAGGCTTTGAGTCAGGGGGCACATTGTAACTCCTTAAGGACCTTTTTCCACCACCCTGAGTTAATAACTCCCGCAATCTGTACACGTTTTATTACTTTCTCATACATCAAACAGACCAGCGAATCTATCTTGAGCTAGAAAGTATTGCCGTTGATCCCTTTGTATGTTCGGCAATGTAGTTCAGGCTCGCCTTGGTGACTTATTAGAGCAAAGCGACTGTGACAGACAGCCACTGAGGACGTATCTTATAAGTGTAATGTCAGCTCTACTGCTTTTACATAATGAATTCATGTCTACTTCAGCACATTGCTCACATTTCGTAATATACTATTCAAAGTTGGGTAAGGATAATCTTTTTTATAAAAAAAATAGTTCACCAAATAAAGGTTGAAATATCCCGGGACACAATGATTCTATAACCCCTATAGGACCTCAATTTCACGATGAATGGACAGAGGCATGCAGTCATTGGCACGATGTGAACGAGGTGCTTGAAAACCTGTTTTTGTATGTATCATGCCAGAATAGTTGCACATCATTTTTAGAGGCCACAAATATTGTAATGTTTTTCAGAATGAAGAAGTTGACATCCATAAATTCTCTTACATAATAATGTGTATCACTTCTAAATGCCATTCAAAGACTTAGAAAATACGGATAAGACAGACATTATTTATTTTCGAAATTGTCATTTACGACATTATGAGAAGTGATATTTGATGTAGAGCTCCTAAAACATCAACTTATTGTTATTATTTAGGCATTATGTTTGTCGTGGACAGTGTACAAATACGCTTGTATCAAAAGCCAGTAAATATCCGTTTGTTATTAACCAATTACAGCATAAACACCCAATCATTCCTGTAAATATGTTATTTAAGTTGTTTTATTGTAAAATAAAAGCAATTTTGTTACATGTGACAGAGGTGTGGGGCAAGAAAACGTTGTGTTCCTCATAATAAAGAAGTTGACATCGATATATTCTCTTCCCTATGTGTATCACTTCTAAATGCCTTTCAAAGACCTGAAGAACAAGTTGTTATTGATGTATTTCATAATATATTTGTAAATATGTATTGGGTGTTGGTAAACATGTATCACGTAGTACAGCTATAGCTGACTGCGGTAGACATGGAATGTATACCGAATACTACCAAAAATGTGTAAGGTACAGGTGTAAATTGCTATCCCACGCAATGTTACCTACTTTCCACACACCGAGGTACGTTGTTTTTGTTATGACGTTGCTTGGCACCTTGTTTGTGGAGAGACATGATTCTGTTGTCATTTAAGGCTTACAGTGTTATCCAACAAACCCGGTGTGGGCTGGCCGACCCTGTTGTGACTGGCAATATCGCGAGGAAACAACGCACAATGTAAAACTTACAAGAAAACACACGGATACATTTTCCAAAAGGATATCTTACGAATTCCATGGTAAGCACTGTGCCCTTATAGTTAAACGGATGTCTGTAGGACGTGTGCGCACATTCAAGGAGCATTGAACGGAGAAAAAACCAGACAGCTTACTCAACAGGTTGAATGCACAAGCCTGTTGTAAGCCCGGCCTGTAAAGTCAACATATGTATGTTTTATATCTGTAGATCACTTCACTTTCACAATTTCGTTGGAAATTTGGAGTGTACACTTGGCTAGTTGAGGCACTAAAAAGTACGAAAAATTATGTTTATTTAGTCCTCGTTTGAACATAGACTATAGCAAGAACATACTCACATCTAACCGACTGACGAGCTCGGAATAAGGCTTGTGTATGTCCACGAGACCAATGTAATCAATTGGGTCACAACGCTTCCTGTTTGACAGTGTCACGTGACAACAAACCGATCTCGCAAAGGTATTATTGAGTTTTCTGTGGTATATGGAGAGGAGAGTGAGTAAGTGAGTGAGTTGGGTTTAACGCCGCTTTTAACATTATTCCAGTTATATCACGGCGTGTCAGTTTAATGTGGGAGGAAAGCCCGAAGTGAATCCGGTCTCAGACGTTTACCACTTTGGCGAAACCCACGAGCACGGGTATGGTGCTGACAAACCTAGAAACATAATCGGGGTGAACCGGAATTCGAACCCACAATCATAGGTTTCTCGCGTGTCCAGGGGACGCAACTCTGCACATGGGGGCATTTTGGGGCACTGGTGCAAGCCGTATAAAGGCTGTGCAGAGATTCGTTCCATAGGCGTGCAAGAAACATGATCGTGGGTTCGAATCCCATTTTGGCCCTGATAATGTGTCCAGGTTGTCAGCACGTATACGGGGGTTTCCCCAAACTTATACCTGAGTCACATGGGGCTACAAAGTGACACGCCGTGATATAACTGACATAGCGTTCAAACCTTTTCATACGATTAGGAACTCATGACTTCAACAGTTCTATAGTCTGTTGATGTCAGCTGTAAGAGACCGCCTCCGTGGTCTAGTGGTAGAGCGTCCGCCCGGAGAGCGGAAGGTCCAGGGTTCGATCCCGGGCCGCGTCATACAAAAAGACGTTAAAAGATTGTACTTGTTGTTACCCTGTCTGGCGCTCGGCATTAAGAGGCTAAAACAAGGACTGGTCGGCTCGGAGTCAGTATACTGTGTCTGAGTGGGGTATTCATGTTAAACTGCGGCATGGTATCTCAGTGAGCTAGCACTATAAATCGGCATCAGTCCGGACTAGTACAAGCAGCCACACACACACATACACGTGCATGCACGTCGCTATATAAGTGCAATAATCTTGGACGCGACGTTAAACCCAATTTCACCTCATCTCAGCTGTAAGAGTTGCTATCTGGGTTAAGGATTATAAAAGCATTGACACATGGCTATATCAAAACTGGTAGGTAAGGGGTCTGTCAGAAGTAGATTCAGAGGAAGGTCAGAACAAATCTTGGAAGGTTCAGGAAGAGGACGTCGTATTTTAGTTTGATTCCATGTCAAAGTAAATTGTACGAACCCTATAAAATGTGAAAATTTAAACTGGACAGTTTATTGGACTTATATGTTAGGAACGTTTTACTTATCATGATTGTGGACAGAGCGTGGAAGTCAGTGTCTTCCATTTTTTTCTGTTGTTTTTGTGTGCAATATATTTGTCAATTTGACAAATATCACTCAATATTTTGATGTTAACATCAAATGACAGTTTTTGTTGTTTATTACTTGATACATAAATGACCCTTTTTGCTGAGAGCAGAATATGGTCAGCGACATGGTTGTATGTACAAAATCCAAACATGACATTTATTTTGTTAATTTCAGTTCAGTATTTAGATTACTATTATAATGTTTCAATCTGTGACCTAACGACCTTGACGTGTTCTCAATCATTATATATGTGATATATCGTCTCTACAGCATTTACAGAATCTACAATTATCGCCATCAACTAAGTTTATCACAAGTAATTCTTTCTTTGTGTAGATTATTTTATAAAGAAATGTAGTCTTACAACTTACATGGTCCTTTGTACATTTGAAAAAAAACATATTTCCAATTAACAATTAACAGCAAAAAAACAATTATTCAAAAACGGTATTTGAAAATGACAAGATCAAAAACCATGTACTTAAAGTTCTGCTGACACGTTTATCATACTGGGTGCACTGTCCAGTATTCGATCGACGTCGATCTATTTTAAAGTCCCGTGCTACACACGTCACATGGCTCAGTATCGGATGTGACCCCCTCCAGCAACGATACAGGCCCTAACACGACGTCGAACTGAGTACACGAGTCTCCTGACATCCTGATTAGGGATCCTAGGCCATTCTTCCTGCAAGGCCATTGCCAAGGCATCCCTCATCCATGGCGGCTGTTGACCTTTCCGAATCCTGCGTCCAAAGTTGCTCTAATTGCGACAGGTCCGGTGATCTGGCTGGCCACTGTATAATACGGTCGCGTCGTTGGCGTTCAGTGACTCGAGCTGTGTGAGGGGTTGCGTTGTCCTGCTGAAACAACGTCCGTGGGTATCGGTGCAGGAAAGAGAGTACCACTGGCCGCAAAACCTCATCCATGTGACGACGTGCAGTGAGATTTCCGTCGATGATGACCAGATCTGTCTTCTGGGCCCCGCAGATGCCACCTCAGACCATGACACTGCCACCTCCGTAAGGCTCCACTTCTAGGACGCAACAACGTGCCGTCCGTTCACCACGTCGTCGGTAGATTCGAACCCGCCCTTCAGACTTGAAGAGCTGGCACCTACTCTAGTCGCTGAAGAGTACTCTTCGACAATTTCTCTGCTGCCACTGCTGCACAGTCCTGTTCCATCTCAGTCTGTGACGTCGGGGTAGAAACGTTAACGTCATGCCCTTGAAAGGTCGATAGGCACGGATACCATACAGGCGGAGTCGTCTTGCAACGGTCCTTCTGCTGACTGGATGTCCAAGGCTGTTTGCGGATGATGACGTCACAGTTAGGAATCCTGACCTTAGGTGAGGCACCCGGATAATACCGGTCTTCTGTGGGGTCGTGACCTTGGCTCTTCCACACCTCGGCATGTCTGCAGTACTGCCAGTTTGCCTGTGACGTGTAACGATGGTGCACTTGAAGCAAGCCATGATCCTGGCAACATGCTCCTGCATCGCTCCCATTTGCAACATGCCGATGGCTCTCTCCCTCTGCTCTGCAGTTAGTTGAGGCATGTTCGTTGTTTTAAACGGTCCAGTGATGCGAAAAGACAATCCTGCTCATGTTTTATACCAGAATTTCGTACGGGTACTTTGTGCACATTTTGTATTTTTTAGTGATTAAATTCTCTTTTCTCGCAAATCACGTGGAGCACGTGCACATGTTCACAGGGAATAGGTAAATTGCATTCCAGCAATGTGTTCCCAGTTGGTTTCGTGCTGTTTGGCAAATCTGTTGAAAGCTGACGACCAATAAATATTTGGTGGCGTTTCTTTTTCCCGCTAGTTTTCTTTAACACTTTCTCTTGTTTTTGTCATAAAAGATCCTGGAACACTTTTCATCTGAGAGAATATCATAAAAAAACCATCGTTGACTCTGAGCTGACTTAAATTCAGTGATTTACTTGTAATTACATTTTTTCCAAATATTAGGAATATTGCTCTGCAGCTTTTGATAGTGCAACATTAAACTTAAAACATAAATTGTCATCACACATATCTCTAATAAAATGAACACCATCATGAAAACATAGCAACAAAACCCGTTCCATATTCATAAGAAATCCCAACAAAAAGCAGGGGCGGGGGATGTATGAATGGAGTGAGGTTGCAGTGGGTGGATGAGTGGTGGGGTGTGTGTGTGTGGGGGTGGGGGTGGGGGGGTGGGGGTGTGTGTGTGTGTGTGTGGGGGGGGGGGGGGGGGTGTGTGTCAGTGGATGGTGGGGATCGGTATGTGGGTGGATAGGTGTAGTGGATTGGGGCAGTGGCTGGGTGGGCGATGGGGACAGGTAGTGATGGGTTTTTTTATAGGGAGGGGGCAGTGGGTTGATGGCATGTGGGGAGGGGCAGGGGATCGATGAGTTGTGGGGAGGGGCAGGTTATCGATGAGTTGTGGGGAGGGGGAGGGGATCGATGAGTTGTGGGGAGGGGCAGGGGATCGATGAGTTGTGGGGAGGGGCAAGAGATCTATGGGTTATGGGGAGGAGGAGGGGATCGATGGATTGTGGGGAGGGGCAGGGGATCGATGGGTTGTGGGGAGGGGCAGGAGATCGATGGGTTGTGGGGAGGGGCGGGAGATCTATGGGTTATGGAAAGATGGGTAAGGGGGATTGGGTAATGGGTGGATATTTTTGTGGGCAGGGGGCAGTTGGTGGGCGGGTGGTGGGGAAGGCACAGTGTATGGGTGGTGAATCGGGAACAGTAGTTGGGTGGGCGAAGGGGAGGGACGCATAGTATCACATACATGTATATCCTCGTGAGCACACGACTAATACACTCACAATGCTTCAGACATTGATACAGAAGATAAACGTAATACCACACGCTGCCCGCCGAACATTTAGCCTATTAAGTCAATTGGACAATCTTTTCGGTTGAAAGGGAACAGTGGTTTCCATTGAATTTCTTCGGTCAATAAACGCAGTAGGAGGATTATAGTGAATAGGGTCGATCACCTGAAGTTGATGTGAGATGAACTCAGTAAAAAACCAATATGTTCATTATGCTACTCTGTAAGTCGAAGCACGTAGATCGCTATTGCTGAAACACACGCTGACGTTTCTGTCGCTTATGGCTAGATCCTGTACTCACAGAACATTTACTGATGGTTGGAAATATCATAACATCATATGGTCTTGTTTAAAACAAGGATGCACTTTAGTAATTTAAACAAAGCGTAATATTCAACCGAAGTGTATGTATGTAACGAATTTTAAATCATATTACTTTCATTGACACACATGACTACATTGGCCTGTGAAGATCCAGGTTAGATTTGGTCTTCATGAATCCAGACTTGTAAGAGACGACCGAGTGGTCAGGGTCGCTGACTAGGTTAATGCATGTCATCGATCCCATTTGCGTAGATCGATGCTCATGATGTCCATCACTGGATTGTCTGGTACAAACTCGATTATTTACAAGCCGCCGTTATATAGCTGGCATATTGCTGAGTGCGGCGTTAACCAACCAACAAAGAAAACTATCAACAATCTGAAGTCATATTCGAATATTGGTAATTAATCTGCCCAGCCTGCGCCCAATAACGAACTCAATCAATTATTAATAACGTTTAGTAATTAGAATGTATCTCAAGGTTAATTCAGTCACCTCGCTTACCACTTAACGCGCCTGCCACTGTTGTCATGGTTACTATATGGATGTATTTAAAATCAAACCAAGGAAATATTCAACAAAAGAATTTAACCAACAAAATTATATATTGTGGATAACTTTATCAACGCAAGTGATTCAACAAACAAACTGAACTAAACTGCTTGTCAAAACCAAATATACTCCCATGTTGGACGGTGGCTGAAAGTGGAACAAACACGAAATGCTTATTTGATGGTGATGTATTTCATACGGGACTTATAGGCAATATTACATGCATAATATCAATGCGTATTTTACCACAGATGACGTGCATATGACGTCTCAAGGAACATGGAAACACAAGTTCACAGTACACAGAGTCAAGAGGGAATTCTCAAGTGTATGTTGACCGCCTCCGTGGTCTAGTGGTAGAGCGTCCGCCGGCCGCGTCATACCAAAAGACGTTAAAAGATGGTACTTGTTGTTGTCCAGTCTGGCGCTCGGCATAAAGGGGCTAAAACAAGGACTGGTCGGAGTCAGTATACTGTGTCTGAGTGGGGTATTCATGTTAAACTGCGGCATGGTATCTCAGCGAGCTAGCACTATAAATCGGCATTAGTCTGGACCAGTACAAACAGCCTCACACACACGTGCACGTCGCTATATAAGTGCAATAATCCTGGACGCGACGTTAAACCCCATTTCACCTCACCGCAAGTCTATGTTTGTCTTTTAGCCCGAAAGTTTATATTTACCCAAATACTAAAAAGTGGCATAAAGAATACGGTACAACAGAACAGTGCCAGAACACAACTACTATTTAAAAAACCAAAACAAGACTTGCGTGAATACAAAGGTTTACAGGATAATTTACCTTGTGTAATTGTTTTAGAAAAATAAAGTTACAATAAGTGATAACAACCTATTGATATAAGCTGTACATGTATGCACTTATGTTTTCCCTTTCTACGAGTGCTACATTGTTTTGAAGGGGAAAATATGTTTTTAAAAACATTTGTTCAAACTATAATACCATTATAGATAGTATAATATGATTACTAACATCACCAGTACTAGTCTACGGCCGAGGAATCCCATCTCTTTTTGAAAAAGTAAAAATTTGATTTTTTAATTTTAGAGGGTTGATAAGTAAAGCTTGGCTATTTTTGTATCACCGTGCCTAAAGAAACATAAAATGGATGTATAATGTCAAATTTGTCAGGATTAAAATAAATCCCACTTATATTTTTTTTCTACTTAGATCAAACACAACAGACATAGATGGGAACTTACACAACACACGTCAGACTCAAACAGGTGCAATGCGCTTCTTAAACACCGAGATGTGATTATCTTCGGTGCACCAGTGCTTCTCATCCCATCTTTTTTAGTAAATAGCGCAAATATATAAAATAATAAAAAAGATGAAACATGTTACAGTGCATCTGACGGAATAACCCTTATGATTTTGTCCGTTACATAGTCTTTGTTTAAATTATTTTATGATCTAAAGCAAGTATGGCTGATCGCACCCATTAATGTCAGCTGACATCAGTGGTACTTTCTTTTTAATTTAATACGTTTCTGCTTAAGTATAATTGGTTGGAATTTACAAAGTGTGTGTTTTGTTAGAATTAGGCTGAAAAGAAATATCAGCATTTAATTCTGACCAAAAACATGAAATTATACATGTAATTCTAGCTTCTAGCTTCTCGTTGTGCACAATGTTCTAAAATGACCAATCTTTACGCATCAACCCTCTAAAATTTAGAAATCAAATTTTCAAATGATTAGGAAAGTTGGGCAGTTGTGAAATTATATCATGATTTTAATTTAACACACGTCAGCCACTAACAGGTGCGGTGTGCTTCTTGCACCGAGATCTAATTATCTCCAGCGCTCCATTGCTTGTCCGAAATGGCATTCCTAAATATAATCCCAAACGGGTTGTCCCTGAAGACGTAGTGCCAGAAACAGCACAAATATTTGGAGCAGGAAAGGGAATATTTACAGGCTTACTCTGCCCCTGAGTGAATGATTCATTACATTTTGTGCGATATTACACCACAGCGATAAAGTATTGATGTCAAACTGAAGATGAAAAGTGATGCGCCCTGGTAAATTAGCAATATCACATTTTAATAGCTGTTCTCAAGGGACGATCCTCTACACTCTGGTCGAGTCTGGTCTGTATAATTAGTCTCTATAGTGCATATGGAATATTTGCTTGTCAATTCAATACACTGCCTTTGCTCAAGAGCCTCGTCCTTTTAGTTTGTTATAAATTACTTTCTGAATTGCTTCACGTGCAACTAGTCGCTGAGAACTCCTTTCTCCAACTTTATTCTTTGGTCAAAGAATTGTGTGCATATTGACAAAGGTTGGGGAAGAAGAGAGATGAACAGGGGGATGATACGAGGATAAACGTGAGTATTATCAAGATATGTGTATTGTTGCGCATCAAATGGCATGGCAATAACATGTTTTAGTCATATTTAGTTCATTTGGATATAAATAATTGACATTATAAAAATGGATCTCAAACATTTCGTCTGACAGATCGTAAAACTTTGAATGATGTTATTCCCATTTGTTTAAAAGGAACGTAATGCGAATAATATTTATATAACACATGTTTTGGTGTTATTGTGCATAATTAGAGTAAGTAACAAATGTTCTCGATTGATTTGACGGCGGTGCAAACCTATATTGCCTGAAACATATTTGATCGTGAAGTTATGAGCAGTGGTATCATTCCAAATTGTTTAAAATGAATGTAATGCGAATTAAATTGATAAAACACGTTTTGTGTTATTTTATCTGATAACAGTAAGCAATGAAAATGTTCTCGATTGATTTGACGGAGGTGCATAAATATATTGTCTGAAAGATATTTTATCGTAAAAGTATGAGCAGTGATATAATTCTCATTTGTTTAGAATGAATGTAATGCGAATTATATTTATATAACAGAGGTTTGGGTGTTCTTTTGTATGATATAAGTAAGTAGCCAAACCATGTTTTCGATTGAATTGACGGGGGTGCACAAATATCACAATGTCATAAGTAATGATGAAGCAGTGCCTGGTATAAGCTGTGATACTTGTGAATGGTACCAGATTGCCATTATTTCATGTTTATTTCAACTGAAGCATAACACATGTTTTGATGTTATTTTGTATGATAAAAGGAAGCATTTAAGATATTTTCGATTGATTTGACAAAGTGCACAAAATCATGATGTCATTAGCAATAGGAGCAGTGCCTGGTGTAAGATATTAAAAAAAAAAAAAGCTGTGATACTTGTGGATGGTACCAGATTGCCATTATTTCATGTATATTTCAACTAAAGCATTAACGGGTTTTTTCTACGCGAACACCTGATAACATCACTATTTAATAGTGATGTCATAAATACATGCTTATGATGTAGTCGTGCAATGGACTCTTGCTTTTGGCAGATTGGTCTTATAATAATGGAAATGGGTTCGTCGCCTTTACTGCAACAGAAACAAAATTCAATGAATTATAAAAGCGGTTTCGTGTTCGTTCAAAATCATATAACCTGATTAGTTGTAATGTATTTACAAAAAAAAAACAACCCCAAATCCAGATCGCATTATTTCTGTTAACATGTATCTTTAAAAAAATATCAGAATGGTAATATTTCATCATGAGAGGTTTATTTCCATGTATACTGATGCAAATAACAAACTCTTCAACCGGCGAAGGCTGAATATTGTTTTTTCGCCGTGAGATGAATCAAATAATCCTTTTTTGTCTCATGATATTATGTACATTATGATAGTACATGGAGATAGCTGTAATTATAATGATTTTGGTTGTTCCAGTTGGTTGCCTAACACAAATGCAATTTCCAAAAAACTTCAGGGTAGCCCAGTGGTTAATGTTAACTAGTCATACTAATATCCAATGTTGAAAGTATGTTCTTGGTGTCTCTAGCCGCTATGTTGTAGGAATTCTGCTTAACGCGGCTGAAAATCGTACTAATTCACTCACTCACTTACTCCAATGCTACTGCATTAGTACTATAACGTGACAAACAATTGTTTGGTAATATTGAGTCTGAAAGGTTGACAACCATTATTACTACAAACGCTTATAAACTTTTGGGTGATACTGTATGTTAGCCTTAGATGAAGATGGAAGTTATCACTGCATCCACCGATGGATAGTTGCGTATTGGTACTGTATGAGCTTTACAGAGTGATGGGTGTTGCCAATTAACGCACGAATAGTAAAATGTCTTTTGAGAGTGTAAGTGCTATTAAATTATATGTACATTAGCACTAGAGGCGCTAATAGAAAAGCATGTATTGCTGCTGTATGAGCTGAGTATGTAAATGGACATTCTCACTAGACGCGTTTATGTACATTGGTACTTTATGAGCTATTATTGTTGCCAGCAGACAATATCAAGGTGATGGACGCTATCGCCACAAGCACTTATAGAAAGATGTGCATTTGTACTTTAGAAGCTATTATTGGTACAGCAGACGATATCAAGGTGATGGATGCTATCGCCACAAGCACTTATAGAAAGATGTGCATTTGTACTTTAGGAGCTATTATTAGTACAGCAGACGATATCAAGGTGATGGATGCTATCGCCACAAGCACTTATAGAAAGATGTGCATTTGTACTTTAGGAGCTATTATTGGTACAGCAGACGATATCAAGGTGATGGACGCTATCGTCACAAGCACTTATAGAAAGATGTGCATTTGTACCATTTGAGCCATTATGGTACAGCAGACGATATCAAGGTGATGGATGCTATCTCCACAAGCACTTATAGAAAGATGTGCATTTGTACTGTATGAGCTATTATTGGTACCAGCAGACGATATCAAGGTAATGGACGCTATCGCCACAAGCACTTATAGAAAGATGTGCATTTGTACTTTAGGATCTTTTATTGGTACAACAGACGATATCAAGGTGATGGACGCTATCGTCACAAGCACTTATAGAAAGATGTGCATTTGTACTGTTTGAGCTATTTTGGTACAGCAGACAATATCAAGGTGATGAACACAAGCGCTTATAGAAAGATGTATATTTGTACCATATGAGCTTTTTTGGTTCAGCAGGTGATATAAAGCTGATGGACGCTATCGCCACAAGCACTTATAGAAAGATGTGTATTTGAACTGTATGAGCTATTATTGGTACAGCAGACGATATCAAGGTGATGGACGCTATCGCCACAAGCACTTATAGAAAGATGTGCATTTGTACTTTAGGATCTATTATTGGTACAGCAGACGATATCAAGGTGATGGATGCTATCGCCACAAGCACTTATAGAAATATGTGCAATTGTACATAAGGAGCTATTATTGGCACAGCAGACGATAGTAAGGTAATGGACGCTATCGCCACAAGCACTCATAGAAAGATGTGCATTTGTACTTTAGGAGCTATTATGGTACAGCAGACGATATCAAGGTGATGGATGCTATCGCCACAAGCACTCATAGAAAGATGTGCATTTGTACTTAAGGGGCTATTATGGTACAGCAGACGATATCAAGGTGATGGATGCTATCGCCACAAGCACTTATAGACAGATGTGCATTTGTACTGTATGATCTCTTATTGGTACAGCAGACGATATCAAGGTGATGGACACTTTCGCCACAAGCACTTATAGACAGATGTGCATTTGTACTGTATGAGCTATTATTGGTACAGCAGACGATATCAAGGTGAAGGACGCTATCGCCACAAGCACTTATAGAAATATGTGCATTTGTACTCAAGGAGCTATTATTGGTACCAGCAGACGATATCAAGGTGATGGACGCTATCGCCACAAGCACTTATAGAAAGATGTGCATTTGTACCATATGAGCTTTTTGGTTCAGCAGGTGATATCAAGGTGATGGACGCTATCGCCACAAGCACTTATAGAAAGACGTGTATTGATTCTACATGTACAATGATCAATATTACTACCCACGCTCTACAACAAATGTAATAACTGAATGTGCTCTATTGCTATTAGCCTTCACATTGACACTTATCCCACTCAGAGAGATGCTCTTTGATGCAGGCTATTTAATGCGAAGTTCATTGGTACAACGTTCAGCAGCACTATTTTGATACGCGTAAATGGTCTTGTGTATTTAATTGTATTATATTTTATGTGTTGTATTCAGACGTGTGTGTTAACAATCTTACATGCATGGTCTCAGTTAACCATTGTACAGGCATGTCCAGAGTTAACCATCTTACATGCATGGTCTTCGTTAACGATCTTACATGCATGGTCATAGTTAACGATCTTACATGCATGGTCTTAGTTAACGATCTTACATGCATGGTCTTAGTTAACGATCTTACATGCATGGTCTTAGTTAACGATCTTACATGTATGGTCTTCGTTAACGATCTTACATGCATGGTCTTAGTTAACGATCTTACATGCCCGGTCTTCGTTAACGATCTTACATGCATGGTCACAGTTAACGATCTTACATGCATAGTCATAGTTAACGATCTTACATGCATGGTCTTAGTTAACGATCTTACATGCATGGTCATAGTTAACGATCTTACATGCATGGTCTTAGTTAACAATCGTACATGGATGGTCTTAGTATACGATCTTACTCGGATGGTCATAGTTAACGATCTTACATGCATGGTCTTAGTTAACGATCTTACGTGGATGGTCATAGTTAACAATCTTACATGGATGGTCTAAGTACACGATCTTACGTGGATGGTTATAGTTAACCATCTTACAAACATGGTTCATCTGAAATACATGGTCATACTTAACCATCTTACATGCATGGTCATACTTAACCATCTTACATACATGGTCATATTGAACCATCTTACATACATGGTCATACTGAACCATCTTACATATATAGTTATAGTTAACCATCTTACATACATGGTCCATCTTACATACATGGTCATACTTAACCAACTTACATATATAGTTATAGTTAACCATCTTACATACATGGTTCATCTTACATACATGGTCATACTTAACCAACTTACATATATAGTTATAGTTAACCATCTTACATACATGGTTTATCTTACATACATGGTCATACTGAACCATCTTACATATATAGTTATAGTTAACCATCTTACATACATGGTTCATCTTACATACATGGTCATACTTAACCAACTTACATGCATGGTCATACTTAACCATCTTACATACATGGTCATACTTAACAATCTTACATGCATGGCCATACTTAACTATCTTACATACATGGTTATAGTTAACCAACTTACATACATGGTCATACTTAACCATCTTACAGGGGGCACGGGTGGCCCAGTCGTCTAAGGCGTCGTGATTCGCTGTGCAGAGTTGCGTCCCTTGGGAACGCCAGAAACCTATGATTGTGGGTTCGAATCCCG